AAAGAAAATCACTAATATCTTATGACAGAACTAATACCAATGCTCCTACTAGCTCTAAGTCTAACATTATTTTTAAGGTCCTCCGTGTGTCATGTACTATTTTACATGCTTTATATTTAGAAATCCATTTAATCCCACAGCAACTCTATAGATAGGTACTATTATTAGTCTGTTTACAGTTGAGGAAACGGAGCCACAGAGAGGTTAAGTGACTCATCCACGGTTACACAGCCAGATAAATGGAAAAGGGCACAATGAGACAATTCACAGAAGATAAAATCTAATCACCCATGGAAAAATGTTCAGGATTGCCAGTAATCAAAGAAATGTAGATTCCCATTAAGTATCATTTCATACCACACCTTTGTTGAGGCTATGGTTAAACTGTCACTCTCCGATATGGTGGAAACTATGCAAATCATAGTAAGTTTTTAGGAAAGCCATTTGTCAATACGTATAAATAACTGTAAAGAGGCTCTCTTAAACTGCATAATCACACTCCAAGAATTTATTCTTAGAAAGTTATTCAAAAGAAGAGTCATACGAATAAAAAATTTGCTGTAGCATTCTTTATATTATCAAATATTGAAAGCAATCTAAATTTCCAAATATAGAAATACCTAAGTAAACTATGGTATATCAATGAAATGGAATATTATGTAGCCATTTAAACTATAATTATGAGTGATAATGATAATATAAAAATGTTGGATAATGTCAACTAAGGTAAGTCAAATATAAAATGTTACCTATTTGCAATTATATAAAATTATGTATACATACGTTCAAGGACCAGAATGGAACATAAAATAGAAACACTTGAGATGTCAGGATAGCAGAATTTTCCCTCTACTTTTAATTGCCTTTATTTCTGTTGTTTCCCATATGATGGCAAAACCAGGAATTGGGAAAAAATAGAAGATCTGTTTTTGCCTTTTGATAATACATAATTTCACTGACAATTTATGGAATCATTGACTTTTAGAGCTGAAAGGGACCTTATCGGACTCTTGGTTCAACTTCCTGATTTTATAAATAAATACTCAGGCAGAAAAAGAATGACTTGCTCAGTTGCTTATATTTAATTAGGAGCCAGAAATTACAACTCCAAAATGACTCACAATCATTTAGGGTACATTTTTTGCAGAGAAATTAACTTGTTAGGACTCTACCTTGAAATAGATCATAGCCATAAAAATGACTATTTTAGCCTAATTCTACTTTCTTATCTGCATTATCAACTGCCTCCTTTCCCCACCTGAACGTAAGCTTTAACCAAAGCAAGAGCTCTAATTCTTGACTGTATGGTACACATCGTGCATATTTTTGGTATTTCAAAGAATGTCAAAATATTTATCAAGATGAGTATTTCAATAACAATGGGCAAGCTGTTAGTCATTTTCCTCTGACGGTAACAGCAGGCATTCAATTAAGATTTGATAAATCAATTTTGAATTTAAAACTTTAAAGCATATTAAAAATGTCTTCTAACACTGACTAAAAAATATATTTAAACCTCTCAAAAACTAATTTCTGGGATAGAAAAGAAGAATATGAGTATTATATAAATGTTTACATAGATCTTGCAAAGACGCCCTCATCTACTCACCCGTGACCACAAAAGAAAAGCATGTCTTCAGAAAAATAAGACCCAACTGGCAGGTGAAGTGCTCTACTCTTAAACCCATTTAGATCATTTGATTCTGGCTGGGCTCTCTGAAAGGACAGATGAAAAACAAAAACATGGAAATGAGGCAAAAAAAATTTTGGAAGTGGCAGATTTGAGTTGTGGTAGCAAAGTTGTTCCAGTGTAGGGGGGTTGGGGGCAGCAGTTATGTTGAGCCCCCAAGACTGATTTGCAAGAAGTGTGTATAAGGACAACTTGAGGCCATGCTGTGCTAACTGCTGGGATTCAAGCATGCCTGGGCAGAGTGCACTGGTACAGTGAGTTTCTGGGGACATCAACCAAACAGCACCAGCAGCCAAAGTGATAGTGTTGGCTGCTCCCACCAGTGCCCTGTACCTGACCTTCAGCAGCAGCAGGAAGCAGCACCAGCATTGGCACTGGGACAGGAGCATGGCCCTCTCACTGGGCTTGGTGGAAAGCTCTGGGTGCCATTTAATAGAAGAGAGCCGTTGAGACACTCTAAAAGTGAGGAAATAGAGACAAATAAGGAATAAGAGAGGAAGACTTTTAAGGAGAAATTGCTTATACACACAATCAGTAGTTTCAAGTTACTATTCATATATTTAGGTTAGAAACCTATTCAGATTTAGCAATCTCACTCCACATTTTTACAACTCCATATCAGTTCAGAACTCATGGAATTCCCTGTGATATTTTCCTTTCAGTCACACTCTTCGTGGTTCTCCACCCTGGCTAACCATCAAAATCTCTGAAAGAATAAAAAATAAAAACCATGGTTACCAGGGGGTAAAGGGAGTGGGAAGGGATAAATTGGGAGTTCAAAATTTGCACCTCTTGGGGAGTGATGGAAATGTTAGCTATCTTGATTGTGGCAGTGGTTTCATAGATGTATACATCTATCAAGACTCATCCAAATTATACATCTGAAATATGTGTAGTTTACTGTACAGAAACTATACCACAATAAAGTTGTTTAAAAAAAGAAAAAAACACACACACACAAACACAGAACAGCGTCCCTGTAGATAGATAAAATCAGAATCAGGTGGTGGGACCCAGCCATCAATATTTTAAGAGCTTCCCAGGTGCTTCTTTGGAAGGTAGCCAAGGTAAAGATCCAGTGTTCCAACAGAAGCAGTTAAAATCCCTCTAGAACAATTCTAGTTTTAATGCGCCTGTGGATTACCTGGGGATCTTGTTAAAATGCAGATCCTGATTTGATTGGTCTGAGGAAGGGCCTGAGATTCTGAATTTCTAACAACCTCTCCTGGCAATGCTGATGCTGCAAACCACCTTTGAATACAGAGAGGATCTAGGATAATTAGATCACGTGACTCAGGTGAATTAGATCTCAATTCCAGAACAGAGTGAGCAGAGATAAGCAACTAACAAGACAGCAATAAATAAAATTTTATTTTTTAATAAAAAGGGCAAAACAGAAAGTGTATACAGCCTCATTTTATGTAACCCAAACTTCTAACTTGGTCACCTGATCTAAATATTCTTTAGAGACAAGGAAATACTGAAATTGGTAGCACGGATCTTTCTGTATTGCCTCCTACCTCTCTGGGTTTGCTGCATGTGTCATACTTGTGACAATTCTTAGGACCAAGCCTTAGGGAGCACATCTGGAGGGAACATTTGGATTGACATAGCAGGGAAGCCAAAGTCACAGGTAAAAAGATGAGCATGAACTCTGAAGGCAGATGCAAGATCAGAAAAATAGAAATGAACACTTTTGTCAGAAGGCAGGAGGCTGGAGAGCTGGAATAAATGCAGTGCCTAAAATTTCAACTAAGGACCTCAACAAATGCCGGAGTGATTCTTTCCTGTTGCGTCAGCACACTGTGCAGGGAGTCAACTTAACACATTTGCTTGAGGCCCTCTCCATTTATGCATCAGTCCCAACCACAAGAGTTGTTGAAAAGTCTGAAACCTTTCCAGTCTTAGTGAAGGGTTTGATGATCCTAGAGCATTCTTAGTGGTGGACGTTATGAGAAAGTACTGTGGTGGTGGGAGCCCAGGATCACTCGTACTTAAGCCTTCTCTCCGGGGACTGAGTGATGAGAGTGTGTGTAATGTTCTAGGCTGAGTCCAAGTGCACTGGGCATAGTGAAGAACGGTGGGAGAAAGGGTGGTGTGGGTGGAAAGTGGATGGGAAGGGCAGAGAGCTAGAGACAGAACATAGCAAGTACATGATTTGGGAAGGTCAGGTTGAACACAGGAGCTAGTTTTTGTTTGTTTTTTGAAGTATAGTCAGTTACAATGTGTCAATTTCTGGTGTACAGCATAATGTTTCAGTCACACACACACATACATATATTCATTTTTATATTCTTTTTCATTATAGGTTACTACAAGATATTGAATATAGTTCCCTATGCTATACAGAAGAAACTTGTTTATCAATTTTATATATACTAGCTGATATTTGCAAATCTCAAACTCCCAATTTATCCCTTCCCACCCCATTTTCCCCTGGTAACCATAAGATTGTTTACTATGTCTGTGAATCTATTTCTGTTTTGTAGAAAAGTTCATTAGTGTCCTCTTTTTCCTTTCTTTTTTTTAGATTCCACATATGGAATTTTTCTCTTTTCTGGCTTACTTAGAATAATGATCTCCAGGTCCATCCAGGTTGCTGCAAATGGCATTATTTTATTATTTTTAACTGTGGTAAATTACACATAACATAAAATTTGCTGTCTCAGCTATTTTTAGTGTATAGTTCATTGCCATTAAGTATATTCACATTGTGCTACCATCACTAAGATCCATCCACAGAACTCTTTACATCTTGAAAAAACTAAAACCTTGGCAACCTTAGTCTGCTTTCTGTCTCTATAATTTGAATATGGTGTCATAGTCCAAGAAATCATCGCTATATCCAATGTCATGAAGCTTTCTGTCTCTGTGAATTACATGTACCTCATATAAGTGGAATCATACCTTGTCCTTTTGTGACTGGCTTATTTCAACTAGTATAATGTCCGCAAGGTTCATCCATGGTATAGCATGTGTCAGAATTTCCTTTCTCTTTAAGGCCAAATAACATCACTTTGTATGTACATACCATGTTTCGTTTACCCATTCATCTGCTGATGAATGCTTGGGATGCTTCCACCTTTTGGTTATTATGAATAATGCTGCTGTGAATGTATATGTACAAATACCTCTTTGGGTCCTTGCTTTTAATTCTTTTGGATATATATCCAGAAGTGGGGTTGCTGGATCACATGGTATTTCTATTTTTAATTTTTTGAGGAACTACCATACTGCCTTCCATAGACACTGCACCATTTTACATTCCCACCAAAAGTGCACAAGGGTTCCAATTACTCTGCATCCTTGTCAACATTTGTTATTTTCTGTTTTTTGATAGTAGCCATCCTAATGGGTGTGAGGTGCTATGCCATTGTGGGTTTGATTAGTGACGTTGAACATCTTTTCATATGCTCACTGGCCATTTGTAATTCTCCTCTGGAGAAGTGTCTTTTTAAGTCCTATGCTCATTTTTTAATCAGGTTGGCTTTTTGTTGTTGAGTTGTATATATTCTGGATACTAACCTCTTATCAAATATATGATTTGCAAATATTTTCTCCTGCTCTGTGGGTTGCCTTTTCACTCTGTTGATTGTATCTAGATGTACAAAGTTTTACATTTGATTCCAATTGGTCTATTTTTGTTGTTCTTATTGCCTGCACTTTTGGTGTCATATTCCAAGAAATCATTGCTAAATCCAATGTCATGAAGCTCTTCCTCTATGTTTTCTTCTAAGAATTACAGTTTTAGGTGTTACATTTGGTTTTTTTTGATCCATTTTGAATTAATTTTTGTATGTGGTGTAAAGTAAGGGTCCAACTCCATTCTTCTGCGTGTGGAAACACAGTTTTCCCAAAATAATTTGTTGGAAAGACTGTTCCTTCCTCCATTGAATGGTCTTGGCACACTTTTCAAAAATCATTTGAGCACGTAAGCAAGGGCTTATTTCTGGCCTCCACAGGGGCTAGTTTTTGAGTTTACGTGATCAGGTGATGATTGTGGCAAGAGATGAGTCAGATCAGGTTCCTTGCTGGGATGACCAACTCAGGTGAATGGTGACTGAGATGGGATTTTGTAGCACTAATGTCAGGGGTGGGGAGGGTCTCGCAAATCTCTTGAAGACAGCCTGGATCTCATCTCGATTTTGACAGATTGGATGGATTGTGGTAACGCTGGGTGGTACTGAGAGGTACCGTAAGTGGAAGTTCTAAATTCTGTGGCAGGAGGTGATCTGTGTGGAGGTATGGGCAGCATTATTACAAGCGACCTTAGACACCAAAGGGTGTGTGACACAGGGGCTATACCTTGAGGACTTGTTTCACATGCTTTGTTTGGCTTTTGCTGCGTGGCACGTGTCTAGATTTATTCATGGAGGGCTTTGAAAAGGGTCTCCAAAGTTAGGATGCCAACTGACATGATGGGTTGGGTAGACTATGGTGGTCAAATGGTGGTGGCCAGCTGAAGCCAAGAGATTTAAGTAGGAGATGCCACATTTCGGACAAATGGACACTCATCCTACATTGTAGGCATCTAAAGAGCAAGAACAAAGTCTTATTCATTTCAATATTCTGAGTCTGGCAGTTTTGGGCTCATAGTGGACGAATGCTTAATATATGTTTGAATAGAATTGAATGTAAGCCAAAGAAACAGCAATAATCTGAAATAAGAAAACTCAACTCTTCATAGTTAGGAGAAGTTTCTTACGGCTAACTTGAATTATTTATATTGCAGGAAGAGTGCATTTCTCCTCCCTTCTTCAAGAAAGAGAGACTTAATCACTATCTTTCATAAAAAAAAATCTATTAATTACCACTTACTGAGCACAATTATCTCTAGGCATCATGCCTTGCACTTGACGTGCATTATATTTAATCCTTGCAACAATCTTCAGATAAGCAATATCATCTCCAGTTACTGATGCTCAGAGATGTGAAGTGTCTTGTTTAAGGTTACACAACCAGCAGGAGTGAAGCTAGGCTTTATATTCAAAGGGGTTCCATGTTTCTTCTCTGAGAACCCTTTTTACTTATTTCTACCCGCAAGCTATCACTCTCATCTTCTAGTGTGCTCTTCTCCTAGGGTTAATAGACACATTTTCTTCAACCTTTAATCATGGCTCTTATAAACAAACTATTAATAATCTTTTATCTGCCTCTGGCCTTTCCCCAAGTCCTCCATATTCTTTGAGTTTGGCATCAACCTAGCACTTAAAAAATCACAAGTCTTGCCTTCGACAAAAGAATTGAATCACCTCCCTTTTCATTTTACGTCAGCATAGAAGGTATTTTGCACCTATTCACATCCTCACAAAAAGTAAAATTTTAGAAAAAGTGAGCAAATAAAAGGAACAATAATCACCGAGACCTCTGGTGAGAGCTGGGTGATGAGTGAGAAGTGCTGGTCTACAGTGAGTCAATACAGAAGTGGTGCTGGGCAGAGCTGCTAGACCTCCTGGCTATTCATCAGCTGCCTAGTAAAGATTTAAGTTTAGTATGGTTCCCAGAAAAAGTCACTGGTTATAACTTTGGAGGTTCATTCTGTTTGCAGTTCCCAGTATTCTAACCATGTACAAGTGTCAGTGCATACCCTGTACATCCCACCCATCACCAAGGCTGAGGCTTACAGACCAGGTAAGCTGCCACCAGCTTACAGTTAATGCTGGTGTATCTCTCTAACCAGACTACTCAGCAAGTGACAAAAGGACAGAGTAGAGTCCACTCCACGCTGCTCTAGCCTCAGTTTATGTGGGGTGTGTTTTATCCAGCACTTGGGAAAGGTTTAGGTAATTCCCACTTCTGTTGTTTCTTGCCATGTGGAGGGACAGCAACTGGTATGACTCCTGGTCTCTTTGGTCCTGTCTTTCTCAGTCCTGGGAATGGTGAAGTCATTTAGCTAATAAGTGGATTTGGGAGATGAATGAGGCATGTTTAACCCACTCCTTTTTTCACTCTTTCTTGGTAGCCAGCAGCTACTCTGTAAAAGGTTCCACAGCAGCAGACCCCATGAATAGAGCCCTGTGGCTGTCCAGTGCAGGTCTTGATTCTGGGGTTTAGGACCAGGAGGGCAATTGTTACCATACATACTGAGCCATTCTCTCCACCATCAGATTCATCAGTAATTAAGTTCATGTTTTAATCTTCATCTGTTGACACTGCAGTCTTTCTCATTTGGTTTAACATGTGGGCAGGGAACACAGGGATAGTATTTCGAGGATCTTTCATACCTCAACAGATGGTAGTGATTGCACATTGTAATACTGTCTTGTAGGCTCTTCTGGCCTTATTCTTCACTTGTCCTCCATTTATTTCCTTGCAGAGGGTCAGCAGATCTTGAATCACTTGGTGACTGTATTATACCAATACCTAATCTGTTCCTTTCTGCAAAGTAGGAGCTAGACCTTCCTCTGTCACAGTGGGGAATGAGGATGATCTTCTGGCTCGGTCAATGTCCCCTTCTGCCTGCATCCCTCTGGGTGTGTTTATCCTAAAGCTGTAGCCCATCCTTCCAGGTTTACGAAGATGAATAAATTCATACTTTGTAACAAGTCATAGTAGAAAACAAACACAAGGGCTCTGGAATCAAAAGTAAGAATCAGATAAAGACATGTCTTTCCTCTTCTAAAAAGTATCAAGAACAAAATGTCTTACTAGCCATTTCTGTGACATAATTCAGGAAAACAGAAAAAGAGCTCATGGCCTCTGCCGCCTTCCTATTCCCAAGGCTCAGTGAGGGCTCTTTCTTTGGCTCTTCCTGAGCCAGGCCAGGGGGCATTTAAGTCTATAGTTTAGTTCTCTGAGGTTCAGTTACAAGTCACCCTTGCTACAATCTTCCTTGACCTTGCACTTTTCTTTGGGTTACTGAAACAGTGTTTGGCTATTCTGCCTGTGAACATTGCCTGCTTCCTCTAAGCCAGACTGCCAGCTGCTTTTGCTGGAAGCCTTTCCCAGTGGTGACTCTCTGTGCCTGGCTGAGCTCTAGAGGAATGACCTGAGATTCCTTGTCACCATATTAACACGGGACACTTCCTCAATTGGACCTCATCTAAGCCAGTAACTTGTACCTCCCCCCATATGGTATTTTATTTGCCGTATTATTTTATATTACAGATTAGCTTAAAGACAATGCCCACTCCAATGTACTTAAGATCTGTCAGTCAATGTTTTCTATCATTCAACTTTCCCACCTCAATCATCTTTTAATGTAAAAATGCATTAATATACAAAAGTACAGTCTCCAGGCTTAGAAAGTCTGTCTCTTTGGAAAGTTACTGACACCCAATAACAGACTATGAATAAATTCACCAAGGCAGGACGAACCAAGAGTAACTTATATTCATATATAAACATAATTATAGTATAGATAACAGTTGCAAAATTTGAATAAAATTTAATGTAAATGTGTCAAAGAGGAGAACGCACAAGATTTACAAAACTTACATGAAGTAAGAAAATGTTCAACTGAGTAATAACCACAGCTTCATTAACTTGACAGTCTTTGGGACTTAGAAATGAGGTAGTTCAAGCCAAATTCCTTGAGTGTTACAGTTCCTCTGGTACCAGGCCTGACAGTTGGCAATGCAATGGGAGTAGGGGTCAGCCCTGCACGTGTTGTGCATCGTTTTCATTGTAGATAAGATCCACCAAACAGGGAATTCTTTACTCTTGGAAGTTTCCCTGTGCTCATGACCAGCTTCTGCAAGCACAAGGAGAAAGAATGCTATTAAAATGACTTTTTAAAAAGCCAAAGCTAAATGACTAAACATTAACTTTTGAGGAATGGAGGGGAAAAAACCTATGGGGAAAGAGTCAGTCTACTTATCCAGGGAACGAGCAGAATGAATTCTCATTCCAGCATGGGGCTGCTGGGCACCCAGATCCTTTCACTTGGGGTAGAAAACAAATCCTCAAGTTGCTACCGAGCCAAACTTTAAAGGCCAGTCAGGAAATGAGCAGCACTCCCGAATGGGGAAGCCCGGATCAGTGTTTTTTCTAAAGTAAACAAAAGATCTGCAAAAGTATTTCCTTGTGCTTATTTGGCAAGAGAAAGAAGCACCTGGAGAGTGAGTTAGGAAGAGAAAGCATATAAGACATGGAGTAAAACCAGGATGGTTATAATGAAGCTCTGTCTCACTAATCTCCAGAGCCCCAGTATTTTCTTCCGAAACAAAGCTTCAAGTGATGAGACACTCAGAAGGCCTGCTTAAGAATACATTCATGAGGAGGATAAATGGAAAAGATGCTTTTCTGGATCCTGAATTTCATCTTCATTTGGATTTAAAAAAAAAACTTTAGTTGGGGAGGGTATAGCTCAAGTGGTAGAGTGCATGCTTAGCATGCACAAGGTCCTGGGTTCAAACCCCAGTACCTCCTCTAAAAATAAATCTAATTACCTCCTCCCTTAAAAATTAAAAAAAACCCCAAACCTTTAAAAATCTCTTCTAGAGAGTCAAAGTGGAAATATATACATTAAAATAAATGAGGGATGTGAAGGAAAAAGTATGAGCAAAAAGAAAAGCTATTATCCTCGGAGACAAATATCCTTGCTTCAATGCAGCCTGTGAGATTGGCAATTTCAGCCCTTCTCTTTCAGGTGATTTTCAGCGCGAGATCCCAGTGCTGCTTAAGAGGACTTAAGCTCACCTGAGGGAGGGGGCTGTAACTAAAGATGCATAGAGAGCCATCACATTCTGTTCAGCAGGACAGCCTTAGGAGAAAGCCAAGTTACCCTTGGGAGGCAGGAGGTGAGAGAAATGAGGCAGCGACTGCACAGTGTTGCTTGTGTTAAGAAGACAGCATTAAAAACAACAACAAAAATAACAAACTAGTGTGAGTGGCTCAACAGCAACTCATCCTTAATTTTAGGAAGTCTCACAGTTTTAGGGTCTTTTTTCCCAATGAGAAAGGCTTAAAGACCTGAAGGGTGATTGCCCTTCCCCAAAGTTGTTTTTTTTTTTTTTGAAACAACTCATGATTGAGATATAAAGATTAACTCAGAAAAAAAATTAATTTCTGCTTTTCTGCAGTGAACTAGGAAGTGTCACATAAAGGAGCAATGGGTTGAAAACACTGCCAAATAATTTGCATAAGGATAACAAAACTCATAGTTTTCCTGCACTAAACCCTAGGAGAGACACAGCTAACTGAACACTGTAACTATTTGAAATCCATGTGCTCCTAAATACTTTTTTTCTCCTTATGTAATGTTAAGGTGTACTTATCCATTCACCTGCCTCTAGTTGTTCCTGACTAAGGGTTAAGTGGTTGTGAAGCCACACGCACTGTAAAATCCAAAGCAGCTATTCTAAACTCTTGGACAATGGTGGTGCCTTGTAGCTTGCCTTTAGTAAGCTTTGGGGGTAGCTGAGGGTGGGCTGTCTTTTACTATCTAGAGAGTTTAAAAACAAATTGGGGGTTTGGGGAGGCAATTGGGTTTATGTTTATTTATTCATTTATTTGATGGAAGTGCTGGGTTTTGAACCCAGGACCTCATGCATGCTAAGCATGCACTCTTATCACTGAGCTAGGTTCTCTCCCCACCATGTGGAGGTTTTAATGTGCTCCATCCAGCTCAGGACAACCTGGCTTGCTAGAGTTGGGGTTGCTTGCCCTGAGACACTTCAGGATGGTGCTCAAGGGAGCTGTGCTCTGCAGCCTCCTGGGCCCCTCCTGCAGGTGAACTTACATTTTCAATTTGATGCTGTTTTTCTGACCCTCTGTAGGCATTCACCCGTGGAACTATTATTACTTGCTTGTTACTGCATGTTGCTGATTCATACTCAGAGGAAAAAGTAATTTTGTCTTAACACCTCTTCCCTGTCATTTAAGGCATATGTTAATGAAAGACAGATTTTAGCATCCACTCTCCTCTGTAGCTTTGAGGCCACAGTACATATTCACTATAAATGAAGATGCAACTGTTATTTTACTTCTATTTATATTTATAACTATGCCAAAGCCATCTTGCAGGTATCTTTGTGCCTCTCAAATCCCAAACCATATTCCAAGGAATGCTCAACATTTCATGCTTGAATTGGCATTAATGTGGCATTAATGTACATACAATGTTTTAAATAAAGATGTTTTCACTCATATCTGCTTATTGACACTCCCTGATCACATATTTCAGATTATGCTGGAGCAGATCCCTGAGGACATCTTAAAGGTTTTCTACCCCCTTGTATTTCGGATTGATTTTTTCTTTCTTTAAGTAGGGAGTATGCAAGTGATGGGTGCTCTGCGTGCTCGGTGGGGGAGGGGGGCCAAGGGGAAGGCTGAAGCCCAAGGGGGTGGGGCGAGAGCAGAAGTAAGCATATGCAGAATGCAGAAAAGGACTGATGGCAAGGTTTTGCTCTGTCATTTCTCTCAGTTTCTTTCCTTCTCTTCCTTCCCAGTTTGTAACTGTGGACAAGTGTGACCTACTTATTTCATAATATCACTGGATCTAGAATGAGCTGTCACCTTGAAGATCATCTGATCCAAACTCCCACCCATGGCTATAATTCTCTGCTTGATTCAGGACCTCTTTTTCTCTTCCAGCAGCTTTCCTGAGCCGCATTTGAATCTATCAACTAAAAGTGCACTGATGAGAGTAGAGGTTTTGGAATCAGACAGTTCTGGGTCCAAATGTGTTTCTGCCACTGACTAGTGGTAATATCCTAGGCAAGTTACCCAATACCTCAGAGCCCCAGGCTCATCTGTTATATGGTTATAATAAAAAATAATTCATAGGAGTTTGAGGATTAAAAGAAGGAATAATGTAGTATATAAAAGTGTAGAATATGAAAGACTTAGCACCCAGAACTAAGTTAAGAGCAGCTAAGCGGTCCAATAGGAACCAAGACCCATGCTTCCTGCCTGACTCCGAGGCAGTAATTTTTACACCCATCTTATTGTCTTTGTCACAAGGTCTTATAAAACCATTGAAAAAGCTTCTGTTGCTGGACTAGTTTTTACACTGCCTTGCAAACTGTAAACTATGCTGTTATTAATAACAATACCTCTCATATATTCAGTGCTTTAGATTTTACAATGCACTTTCACAAGCAGGGGGAAAATACCCTCGCCAACATTTCTACTGATGACTAACAGAGGCAGGAGGCAGAAAGAGCAGAGGCCCTAAAAGAGGTCTATTAGTGATGCAAATGTGAAGTTATCTGCTCTTGTGAGGAGCATAATAAACATTAAAACCAATTAGAAGTAACAGTGTATGATATATTCAGGCTTCAGAACTTGGCTTTGATGAGCTGGAAAACCAGAGGAACACAGCATAGGAGTTTGGGGGCCAGGATTTAAGTTATCTGACGTTTAACAGTGTAAATGGTTTGGATGCCCAGGAGAGCAGCTCTTTGCAAATGAGTGAATAATTTTCATGTACAAACTAGAGTATAGCATCGATGTAGACTGCATAATGGTAGAAACCTCGATGTGTTCACAATTTAGAGTCAGAGCATATGGAACTGAGACAAGCAAAGCAAATAAGTTCTCAGAAGTCAACATTAACTGGGTGTTTCAATTCAACAAATGTGTCATAACGAAATGCCAAACTTTTAATAATAGAAACTGCTACCTTGGCTTTCTCACAACCTTCTGAAACAATACTTCATGTGTGTGAGAATTTTTACATCTGGAAAATGCTCAAAAGTGAGTTTTTAGAATGGAGGAAAATGGAAGGTGCCTTTTTAATACAGCATATTTCATTGTTTCTGTATTGTAAGATGAAAGGATATACCTTCTTCCGTTAGAAAGAAAATGATCCTTTTGAAATTCAGCTCCCTCAGAAGATGAATTTTTAAATATCTAACTCTGCCTAACTAGTCCTAGCTTTCTGGATATGAGGGAGAAATGAGAATTTCATGCAGTTTTCAAATATTTTAAACTAATACCCAAGCAGATACATTTGCTACATTTCATCATTTCTTAATATCTGTAGGCAATATTCCAAATCCAGTCTTTCTCTTTTTTTTCCCCTGCCAAAAATCTATCTTTTGTCTGGCAGCAAACTCTAAGTAGGGGGTTGATTCAGGTAGGCTAAAGAAGAGAAAGACTGACCAGACAAGCAGAAGACACCGGTAGAAATGGCCCGCTGAGCAGTCATGCGGAATAGGAGGTCTATGCTAGACAGAGCCCAAAAGAGCCCAGTCTGTGTCTCACAGTCCAAATTTGGTTGATGTATTTTTGAAGTTTCTAAAGGTTAACTGCATGCTGTAATACATTATAGAAAGACACGAAGCAGAATTTTACTGTGCCAGTCAAGAAGCTGGCTTGAATCTGCTATTTAGGACAGAGAGAGACAGTACAATTTACATGTGTGAGAATGTGAGAATAATTTTACCTTCTGTTGTTTTTAAAACCACCTTGGGCCATGATTTTTAAATGGAGACACAAGAAGATCTGCTGGGGGTTCCCATAGCAACATTAACTTATCTAACTGCCCTTGTTGTATGTAATACTTTCATAACTAATCTGGCTTTTAAAATGTACATGTTAATTAGGAAATATAACTGAGTGAAGAGTCTCAGGCAAATTTTAACTTTTATATTTACTGATCAATTCATGTTTAAACAGAAACTATGATACTGAAGTTCTGAGGACTTGCTACCAAGGCAAGTGTGTGCAAAAACTCTTACATGGTCTTCCTTGCCCCGATCTCTGACCTCACTGCATTCCATTCTATAGACAACTCTTCAATCAGTCTCTCTAAATCTGTTTATAACATGCCATGGCTAGGATAAAACAGAAACAAACCAAACTCAGATGGCTCCAGTCCAGAGATAAGAACTCAATGCACCCTTAATTCAAGGCTGCCTACAAGTTGATGCTCCATCCACCTTTTCCCCACCATTTTGAATCATGAATGTCTCAACCAAACACACCTGTCTTCTCACTATCTTCTGAGAGCATACATTCAAGGACTAGCCTGAGACCTACCTCCTCCCAGAACCCTGATTCTTCCCTCCCTTCCCACAGCTGATCCTTCTCTCACTTCAGAACCATTACTACTACTGCCACCACTACTATGTGACATGTTGTTTGTGACTAGGCAGCATCCCTCCCCTCTCTTTTGATAACACTGCCTTGATTTTCCTTTGAGGAAATTTCCCCCATTCCATACAGTCTGGTGGTGCTAGCAATTAAGCAGCTCTGCCCCAGCCTGTCAAGAGGTGCATCCATGATTCAAATTGGACCAATCACATTCTTCTAGGAAGTTGAATTTTAAGTGAATTTAAAAAAAAAGTTGGAACTGATTATTATGCTGGTGGTCCTATCAAGAGATTGTCCATTTTGTCTAGATTTCTGTGGCTCATTATCAAAGTCTGTTAACTGATAAGCTCCCTATTTGAGTACCTCTTCATATATTATCTTAGGCCATGATTTAGAGGCTTGGGATGTGCACATTTTGCTTTGCCAGCTAGAGCCTGTTTACGCTCTCAGAAGACAGGGCTGGGTCTTTATTTATTGTATTATTCCATATAATTCAGCACAATGTGAGTACTCAGTAAATGTCGTACAATAAATGAAAAGAGGAGTCAGAAATTCCATTTTTACCAAGTGCAATTTGCACACCAACTTATATTCTTTTTGAGGCAAAGTGGTAAATAAATTTGTAACCACTATAATTTAAGAATTTTCCTAGATAAAACAGTTGTCTTAGAGCTTACAACAACTTGTATACCTAAGTATAGCCTGAAAATAATGTTAGCATTGGTCATACTTCCCCAGTTTTAGGAAAGGAGAGAGAAACTCAAATTCTGTTTCAGATATTAGTCTCTAAATTCAAAAAAAAAAGTTTTGGGACAGACAACAGACAACAACAACAAAATGAAAACAATATACCTTTGTCTTGGTCTTGTGACTTTCCTTGGAAACAGGGTGAGCTGCCTCTCTGCTATCAGTTAACAAGGGAGGAGAGTTCAACTGTGTTCAACTAATGTATAACTAAAGCAGATGATGTTTTTTCACTTCTAAAAAATGGCAGGTTATGGTTTCTCAGAAATGATATGACTTGTGTCAGTAATTTAACTGAATGCTTATAAGACTCAAAGAACAAACAAAATGGTTAAGACATAATAAATCCAAAAGCTTGAGCATATTAAGTTTTGAAAACACAGAATATTGTGCATTCTTCCAAATCACTTAGATGTGCTTAAAATGCTCACAAGAGCCTACTCATCATAAATAGCAGGATATACAAATTCTCTTCTGCCTTTTCAAAAATGAAAGATTTACAAAAGACTTTGAATAGTATAATCCTCTGGTTTGTATCTTAACATGATACATAGTTCAGCCATGAGAAAGGAGTGAAAATACCAATTTGGAGCTTTTTTTGAGTCAAGTGTCATGGTTTCTGGAATTTGCCTTGAACCCACACTCGGTGCATTTTCACTTGTTTTTTCCTATTAACTTGTAAGCGACGATCAACCAGATTCTGCTTTTCGTCTAACCCAGCCTTGCAGAACATATCGTGGACTTCCCCTGTGAGACAAAAATGGCAATCAAACATATGGTATGTGACTGGGGCGGGGGTGGGGGCAGTCAAGAACAATGGAACATTAATGGAATGATGGGCCAGCTAAATTTCATTTATACCTTCTAGTATACATTGGTGAAGGAAACCTGTGACACCAAGTGGGTTTCTTCTACTTCACACAAACACACCAAGTATAAACAGTTGAGCACAGCAGGTGTAAACAGATACACAACACAACAGGTTGCAGTCTTCAATACTTAGAAAAGTGCCCTTCCCCCATCTGAGTTTTTTGTTGGTTTGCAGAGACCCCAAATGGCATACTATAAAAGTAAGTACTCATATAAATTTGGGGGAAAGTCCTCGAATGCAGGATTTATTTTAAGTGCTTTTTTTTTTCCTAATGCTTTTTCAAACTGAGAAATTGACAAGAGATAAGTAATTTTCTAAGGACTCTTAAAATCAAATTCCCTCTTTTGGCTGTGGCATGTCATCAGTTTTTTTCATATCTGGGCTAACAGTACCTCCAAAACAGAAACTTCATTTGAGTATGAGGATGAAACAAGTGATTCTTTTAAGCAGTTTCAACTGGAAAAAGATTAAAAGGCAAAAAGGCCATTTTCAAGATTTTACAGAGAACTTTTACATAGTCGCCAAAGTGTGAAAACATCTAATATTAAATCAACTATTAAAGCCTCATTTGTAGAGCTTTTGAGTTTTTCCCTGCAAATAACACCCAAGAAGAGGTTTTACACTTAATTATTTCCTCTTATATTTAAGCATACCTTTTGTAAAGAAATATGCTCTGGTACCATCTCCTCGAACATAAAAATTTTCAGATAAACAATGCCCTAAAAAAAATTACGACAAGAGAAACTTAGTATTCCTTAAAAAAACCACCACCACTACCACCACCACCAACAAAACTGGTATGAAATATAAACACAGCGTTCTTTAAAACACACAAAAATTACTCTGAACTGAATATAGCATTACCCCTTTTAAAGCGAAGCTGAGTCTTATCATATCTTCCATAGTCCCGAAATAACAGCATCCCCCCAGGTTTCAGTAACTTGGACAGTCGGTTTACAACACCTTGCATCCTTTGAAAACAAAGCAGGAGACTCTGTTTGCACAAGTCCTGTTTCACAAGCCACATCTAACCTTCTTAAAGATAAAAAAGCAAAGCTCAATAAGGCCAAGGAAATCTAAGCCACAGACATAAGGGCAACAAAAACAAAAATATTTTGTATAGAAAGAAAAAAGGACGTGCTAAATAATCAGATCCAAAAAGCCTAAAACATCAAGAAATCACCCAAATGACCAGAGTAACTTCACAGAGCTTTATGTGTGAAGTCAAAGCTGAACTGCAAAACCATAGACATTCCTGATATTTATAGCAAATTAAGGTACTTCCAAGCCAGAAAACACTGCAATCATGTCATTTTCCTTGCAAGACATAAAAATACGCCAGAGCTGTCCCAAACTGTACACCCCTAACAGGGATCATCTTTTTCTGGCTGCTTTTCCTCCAGACTTCTTTATTTAGTTCAAAGGTACCATCATTTACCAAAGTGTAACACCTCAGAGAAATCTTTGACCTCTTTTATTTTTCTCTTCCACAACCATCTGGTCATTAAATTGCATGTCTTTTTTTTTTTTTTCTTTTCTTTTCTTCTCTTTTTTTTTTGACATATCGGATACTTTCTCCCTCTTTTGTTTCCCACTGGTACTCCTTTAGTATGAACTCCAACCTCCTCGGGCTGGAAACAGAATCACTGCCTAACAGGCTTTATTATCCTCCCTGTCAATCCTACCTGCATATTATTGATGAATTATTCTGCTTGAAATGATGGTTTTGTCAAATCATCCCTTTGCTCAAATTTTCATGATTTTAATCCATAGGGTAAAAATCTTAGTTTCCTAGTTGAATCCTAAAGATCACCTACAACTGGCCTCAATTAATCTTTCCAACATCCTTCCCACTACGTCCTAATCTGAAGCATCTTTAGCCAAACTGTTATACATTTGGCTCTGAACAGACCATGCTTTTGCCCACATGGTTTCCTCTCAAAGAATTCTCTCCTCCTTACTCTCTGCCTGTTTAAATTCTATTCGCACTCCAAGCCCCAGCTCAATACTGGGAAGTCTTTACTTTCTTTCTCTTACTGTTTTTCCTACCCATCTGGTTCCCAATCAAGTATGACCCCTATGACTACTCTTGACTTAATGTCATTGGTTAAGTATTCAAGGCCTTATGTGCACACGGGACAGAGATGGCAAAGGTTTCAGATCTCTTATCAAGCCAAGTGACTGACTGGCTGCTTACAGAGATCCACTGAGAAGGACTCTTAAGACTCACTGGGAATGACAATCTACAAAATCACCTATCAGTGTCTGACCTGGGGAGAGAATGGTGAACGGCAGCCTGCGTGCTAAGTCCCTGCCATCTCTGCCTCATCAAGCTACTTAAAGCCTCTGAGCCTTTCTTATTTTAAAAACGAGGGGTTTGGATCAGATAATCTGTACATTCCTTCCAATTAAAACACTGTTCAGCGGAATAATGGGGTGAAAGAGCATGTCAGGTTATGAAGGAAGCAGGTAGTGAGAAAGTGAAAGTAACTCTGAAAACAGGAGAGAACTACTACAGAAAAAGGTGGCATGATGAGAAGAAAAGCGCTTTTAAAAACTGGAACATAAGTACGTGAAAGGGAAAAAAAAGAGTATTTTCCCTTGTTTATTTGATTACAGGTTATTTTCATACCGTGCTTACATCCTTAGGATTTGGCAATGGAAGAAAACTGTATCTAAACCTTAAAATATTCACTTTAAGGATAAATGTTCTATATACAGAGAAAAATCTCTTTCTCCAATTATTAGCAAAACAAGCATGAAAATAAAATACAGAAAAACAAAGAACCAAATACTCCAAAATGTAGCCTCCTCCCACAAATCCTTTCCTCCCAACTATCCTTTAAGGTCTAGGTTGTGAGAACAGGCAAGGGGTCAGGGGAGCTGCTTCTCTTCTCATCCCACCCTTGGCTCATAATGCAATTCCAGAGCCAGTTTCTGAGAACTGCAGGTGGGAGGGGGCTGGGTGAGAAGAACAAGACAAGAGTAGGAGAAATCCTCTTTTTTTTTTTTTTTTAAATCTGACTTGGGCCAACTCTGCTATCCTTACCCATCTGTGGATGGAGGGAGAGGAGGAGGAAAAGAAGAGATAAAAAGATGAGTGTTTACTATCTCCTCTATACTTGGACCTTAGGAAAACATATCATACTTTTATTTCACTAACAAGAAGGACAGTTACCTCTTCTTTTGTAGGCTCCTATGATTTATTCCCATTTATGCTGTGACCCCAAGACTCAAAGTCTAGCTGAAATGCTTGTCATTCATTTGTGCATGGATTTTCCAAGCTGGCGAGAAGCTACTTTTCTAGAATTTTCCTGGGGCTGAATCTACTATCACAGTGCTAGATGACCCTAAACATACTGCCTTACCTTTCACTTACTCTTACCAGTTTCTACGCCTTCACCTTATTTTCAGATCTTTTCCAAGTAGGTAAGGAAGTGGCTACTGACATGACACAACTGAATTTATTTTATAAAAAATAAGCAGAATGAATACATGTACTATAAAAACAATCTTCCCAAGATACCTGCTTCCCCTTCTCTTTAACATTTAATTCAAATCATGAAAAAAAATACAGTATCTAAACTAATTTCAAATAGTTGTTTTGAGGTCTTATTTTGAATTTTTGAATTTAAACATTTCCTGTTATGGGTGTCAGATAGAAAATCTTGTTCGCTATCCACCTACTCCATCCTTTTAACTATGAAACAAAATACATAGCTGACATCTTTCTACCAGTACCTGAATAATGCCAATAGTCTAAACAGATTGGCAGAAAGAAACAGGTTATAGAAACTGGGAGGAAAAAGTAGCTTCATGGAACTTGATATATTTCACCAGGTGCAATTATGTATTTCATTCATTATTTGGAAATCTAATTTGCTTTTCTACAAGCATTCGAAGTGCTCATCTCTGAATGAGAAGTGAAAGGGCAGTAAGGGCCCTAGTGACCTTGTAGTAGCAAAGAAAGAAGCACAAGATAACATGATTTGTTTGGGAAAGAGTCACACTCACTAAACAAAAAGTGGTTGCTGCCAAGTCTGTATCTACCAGCAAAAGATTATGAAAACCCAATTTTAAGAAGCCATACAACTCCTGACATGTACCACACATGTGTCTTAATACAAAAGAGGTGGCAAATTTTAAGAAAAGTGATCACTTTAATTGCTGGTAATATCTCTTTGTGCTTCTTCTTTGGAAAAAAGCTGTTTTTTATTATTTCAAAATATTATGTGAACAAAAAGATTTAAATCATAAATATTTAAATAATGCCACTAGGCCAAACTTAGATTACAAAGGTCCAAGGTTAATCTGTTAAATGTTAATAATAACCCCTAATTCCCTACTGGGCTTCTTTAAAACAAATATTTTAAAGCCCATCAACAGACCTGTGTGAAGCCAAACAGATTCACAGCCCACCTCTTCACGAACATTCAACAAGATGCTAAATCAAAGACGTTTGCTTCCGATCACCAAGTACAATTTCCCTCTTGGGAGTCTATTAGGCTGTTCTGAATTTGTAATTTCCTTGAAGCACTGTCACTTTTAATAGGTATGTGTCTTGCCAGAAGATGCTCACTTCATTCTGACAGTGACAGAAAGCTCACTAATGAAGTAGTTTGACCAGTTTCTTTCTAAAAGTCTGAAGAAAGGAAAAACTGCATTTAAAAGGCTGCATATTATACATAATGTAGTTCACTACATTATAAATTCAAGAATTGTCATTTTTGCTTTGATAGCTCTGAAAGCCACTCCTGATGATGGGCTGTACACATCTGCCTTGCCCTTTCGTCTTCATTTACCTGTCAGGATGAATAGAAGAGAGCACAAAGACAAGGAGAATGACATCCAGGATCCCATCTGGAAAAGGGTAGGGTAAGCCATCGTCACAAACGTCATGAACAAAGGCACAGCACTGGGCTGCTCTGTAAGATGAGTGTGACTGTCGTGATAACGGAATGAAAAGAGAAAAAAAAGTTGTCAGAAGACTTCTAGTATTTTTCTTAAATTAAAAGGTCTTTTATTTTTACTTCTCCTAAGTGCCTTTCCTCTATAAATCTGATTTTCTGATTAGGTATTCTGCTAGCTTATTTCCAGCTGCTGTAAGAAATTAAGTCTAGCATTTGGACTTGATAATAAATATTCTCTGCAGTCCCTCTTTAGTTTTAAACGTGGAGGAGGGCAGTCTTTCGGGGTTAGTAGGCAGCGTTGTTGGAAGCCCACCCTGTGTTAAGGCAGAGGCATTGACATGGTCCTTGGTGCTCTGTCCCACTGCCTGTTCCAGGCCTCCTGTGGCTGAAATATAAATATTCTACAGTATAATCAACGTCAGGTAATGGTGATGATTGCACAACTCTGTAAATACACTAGAAATTACTGGACTGTGATTTCCTTAAAATGGTGAATTTTATGGTATGTGAACTACACATGTTGATAAAGCTGCTATTTTAAAAAAATTGCATTAGAGTGCACACACACACACAATTTGCCTACAAAAACAACACTGGAAGGATATATAACAAAATAGTAGCACTGATTCACCCTGGGACTCTACAAAGCAAGGTTATAGGTGAATTTTATCTTCCCCTTCAGGCTTTTCAGTATTTTAGAAAATACTGTTAACTCATTATCAGAAATTATGTTCCATGTGTTTACTATATATTTTTGTTAGTAGCATTTCCTTTCCTTTTCCATTTGCTAAAATTACCTCTTTTCACTATGATAATGCTTACTAGCATTTGAGGACAGGTCAAATAAGGCCAGGTTTCCATTACTGTTTTCCTTACAGTCTAGGATGTTTTAGATTTGTAATATATGTCTTTTCAGACATTTTTTCCAAAAATTTTAATTTAATGAATGCCTACTATCTGCCAGACTGTGTGTAAAGCTCTAGGGGCACAAACAGGAATATGACCTTGTAGGAGCCATTGGCTTTTCTAGCTCAAATCTATGTCGAATCCAAAACAACTTCTACTGTTTTAGGACAACAGCTTAGAAATCAGTTGACGATATGATTCACAGAAACAGTAAAAGCTCAGTTATAAATGGTCACAGATAACATCTGACTCAGTAACATTAAAAAAAAAGTCACTTCAACATCATATAAATTAGATTTTTATATAGCACTTTACAGAAAATATAAGGCATACCTTTACTAGCTCCACAGCTCCAGAAGCAAAATCACAACAATAAAGAAAGAACTCTGGAGCATTCCTATGAAATGGGAGAAACATTTAAATCTAGAGTCCAGATATGCTGAAGTCACGGAAGAAATGAAACTGTAGGTTTGAACTTGTTAATAACTATTTCTTTAGTAGAATTTTGGACCCTTGGCTTGGTATTTCTTCTTTTTAGATACCGTTCTCTACAGTGGTGCGTGGGTGCCTTCATGTTGCTTCTGAACCAGCACTGTCTCAAACACTTATCAATTACAGGGTAACTTTCAAATTCCTGTCCTGGTTGTAGGGCCCTCCATTACTTGGGCCTACCTGTCTCATATCCCACCATCCTCTCACATGGGAAACCTCCAAAACCACCCACCAGCATTGCTCAATCTTCCTCCAGCCTCCACAGACACTCTTTCTTCTCTGCCTCCCGCCAGTGTGGCCTGTAACTTCTCTTGGCGTAACTAAGTTCTACCCTCTCCAAGGATCCTCAGACCCCTGTGTCCCTTGGTGTTTCATCCCTCTTCCTGTGTGTACAACTCATTTGCTCCTGAAACTCTCACAGAGGTTCTGATGCACTGAGGCTGGTGTGTTTGTGTGTGTGTATGTGTGTGTATATTTTTAGCAGTTGTATTTATGTGCTGTATATATATAAAATATATATTAATAGCAGGTAAATACAACTTCTAAAAAAATAAAACTGACATTAATTCTTTGTTATCTTTTCAAGTTATTTCCAAACTTTTATTGAGCCTCATATATGTACCAAGCATTAGAATACAAAGTAGTAAATGAAACTGTCTAATAAAATAGTAAGAGTATGGATTTGGGAGGCAATTACACTTGTGTTTAAATCCTGGATTTGCCACTTTTTAACTCTGACTTCTCCCAGACTCAGTGGCTTTATTTACAATATGTAAACAAAGTAAGCAAACTCAGGGCTTTTTTTTTTTTGAGGCGTATTTATCCATATGAAAATCCTGACTAATATTAATTGGCCTCCACTGAACTTAGACAAGTTCTATTTGGCCTTCATCTGAAATTCAGTAACAATGGCTGAACCATGGTTACTAATGGGCAGGGACTTACAGTCGTCTGTTGAACAATGCAGGTTTGAACTTCACAGGTCCACTTACATACAGATATTTTTCAGTAGTAAATACCACAGTACTACATGGTCTGTGGTTGGTTCAATTTGTGAATACAGAGGAACCACAAATATGAAGGGTCATCTATAATTTATTTGTGGATTAACCCCCTCATATTGTTCAAGGGTCAACTGTACTTTGAATTTTGTGGGTCAGTACCCTTCCTGATCATATCCTACATGCTATTCTCAAAGAATTCTGGCATCATCTTGCTTAGTACTGTATCTGAATCACGGAAAGAGATCATTAAGTCCTTAAACAGTAATTATAAGTATGGTCCTGGCTCTTATGGATTTCATAGCCTAGTTGGGGACAGATACAATTTCTGTAGAAGTATGAATAGGGCAGGCACCCTGAGGTGACAGTCTTTTAAGAATTCTGAAGGAAGGAGATGGCATTGCAAGGTGGGGAGAAGAAGGGGAAAGGGTTTAGAGGTGGGAGTCACATGCCAGGGATGAGAATCAGAGTTGATCCCAAGACTAGTATGTGGCAGCATATACAGACAGGATTTGAAGCACATAATTAGAACTTCTAATTGATTCCAGAGGCGTTTCAAGCAAGGAGGACTTCTAAACAAATATGGAAGACAAGCACAATATGCATTCAGCAAAATCTCACCCAGGCTCATATTACATTCTTAAATGCTACTCATTGATGAATAATACAACATTCATGTATAACTCATTCATTCCATGGCACTAGAGATTTGCATTCAAATTAAGATTGTCCAAAGAAATAAAGGTATGATGAATAGCACTTGGTTATGAAAAGCTAACCAGTACTGAAACAAAGTTAAAACTTGTATTCGTCCATCCCATATAAAAATAGTGCTTTATTGCAGCATATACCCTTATTGTTTTCTATGAAATCCATATATTTGTGACTTGTAATTTGTTAGGTGGTCACATGTGTTCGAAATGTTCTCAGTAAACACTCAGATACACATATAGCACTATGTGGTAGGATGGCTCTGAAACCAGGGCAAGGGCTCTGAAACCAGACTGCCTATGGATGAATCGTAGCTCTCCCACTCAGTTGGGTGACCATGGAATTATTTACCTAATCTCTCTCTGTAAGTGGTTTCCTCATCTATAAAGCAGAGATAAATATGGCATCTAAGGTGGTTGTGAGGACTGAATGGACTCAAATAGGTCAAGTTTCTAGAAAGGTGCCCGACTTAGAGTTAGCACCTAATAAATGTTAGTCATTCTTATCACTGTTTTTTACTTATTACTGTTATTACTTATTACCACCACCGCCACCACCATCATCATCATCAAAGGAAGATCTGCCTCTGCCTTCTGGGAACTTAAAAATTTAAGGACGTAGCATTGTTCTGTAAAAACTTCCATATAGCTCAAAATGCTTCTCTGGAGAACTGGCACATCTAGCTCATTACGAAAGGTATGCGGTCTACCTTTGGGCAGTGGTTACAAAATACCCACAAGATACAGAACAGTCTAGCAGCTAAAGGAAAGCATGTGCCATTTGCCATGTGTCCTACCAGATGGCAGCAGAATTCCCTGAGACTGAATTCCCACTGCGTCAGCAGCCCAAGTTGAAGTCTTGTGACCACCCAATAACTTTCCAGAGCTTTTCTGTAAAATCAGCTGACTGGCTTGGCCCTTCTCCCAGCAAACAGGTGTAAATATCACAACTACCACCATACCACCAATCGCTCTCTTGGCAGGGGGCTTAAGAATTAAATGATCCTTGGAGAATTATATGACCTCTCAATTCCAGAGGTCTAATTATGGTAAAATATTCTGAAAATGTGAAACATTAATCCTGTACTCTCCAAAAGTAATAAAACATAATTTCTTCGGTGGGAAAAAAAAGTCTAATCCTTCCTTTGGAAGACTAATCACTGGTTTCTTTTTAAAGATGAATTAATTATCTCAGGTTATTGGACTACAGTGATTTCTAAAATATGGATAAGAGGCAACAAGGACACAGCCACAAAGAGTCAGGCGGTGAGGAGGCAAGGGCTTGCAATTATTAGCTAGAGGGAGAAGTAGAGAGGGAAAAATACAACTAACAACTAGGGAGTCAGAGATATTAATCAGTCAGTAGGTATTGCGCTCTGTCTATAAGGCTACCTGGAAAATCAGATTAGAGTAAAATGTGCTCTCTACCGCAAGGAATATATAAACAGTAGTTGGAGAGACAAGGCATAAAGAAATGACATGTTAAATAACAACTTGAGATGAGTCATAAAGTAACACGTAATCAACTGCCAGTGTAGTAGATTTATGTGTATTATAGGTTCCGAGATCACTGGGGTGAAGGAAACTGGCCAAGTGGTATAGAAGAACAGGAAGTTGTGGCCCAGAAATTGGAAGAGGAAAAACCAAGAAAATAAATCCCAAAAGAGAAAGGCTATTCAGAACAGCACACTGCCCAGCATCACGTCTGCCTGGCCACTTTAACTGGTAATTTGATGATACCAGGGAATTACTAGGTTAAGTTTATAATAGTAATGAAGAATGTTCTGATTTTTTGGAGATCCATCTTAAGTATTCGAAATAAAGTGTCATGATGTTGGCATTATGTTAATAATTGTTGAATCAAGGCAGTGGATATAAGAATTCATTTTATTACTCTCCTTTGCTGAATCCTTTTACATTTTCACAATGAAAACTTAAAAAATGGCAGGCATTCTTAAACTTATAAATATGCATAGTGAAAGGACTTAAAGGACATAATAAAAATTCTGTCAGCAACTATGTTATGATGCTGGGAGTAATAGGTGGCTCCCCGCTTTTCATCTAATGGAAATGTTCTGCAATGTGCTTATGTTGATTTTTTTAAAGGAAAAATAATGGGAAATGTATTGTGTGAACTGAAAAAAAAAAAAAAAACAGGACTTGATAGACCAGCTGTGGGTAAAAGATGTTAACAGAAAGTTTTGTGAAGCGTGTCTTCTTCGTCACCTGCTAAAACACATAAGGTGAGGTGGTGAACAGGAAGGGAAGGTCAGGAGAACAACTCTGCTCTCATCGTCTCCTTCTGCTTTTTTGAATCTTAGGGTTGGGTGCTGTAACTCCAAACAATTTCAAATCTAGTGGCAGGCATTTGACACAGGAAGGTTTTATACTGGGTGTGGCTCCAGAAGTGACGACAAAATAAACTGTAAGCTTTAAACTCAATTCTCTAAGTGTAAAATGACACCTAAGTATCCTGGAGAAGCAAATAAATCTCTGAAGTTTAGCAATTCCCAGTTTAGCAGAAGGATCAAATCTCGCTCTTTTCTTATTCCCTCATCCACAACACAAGCTTAAAAAATTACTTCAACTCATGGTGGACAATCCATGCCTGTGAAACATTATTTTCAGAGTAATTCCCAGTTCACATGAAATTAGACACTGGGACTAAGACACATCTTTTGAAGTTTGCTTTAGTCATTGTTTATATAGGAACAAGAACACTACTGGCATATACATGACAACTTTTTCTCAGAATTTCTCAACATCCCATACACATGTAAAATTTTGTAGGAGAAGATTCTAAAACTCACTGCAAAGTGTTCAGAATTGGAAAAACACTATTCCCAGCACCACAGCCAACCTAAAATCAAAGAATAAACAATATCATGAAAATAAAGTTATATTTTCCTCAACAATGTGAGATTTTTTACTAAAAAAATAACTAAAAGAAATTTACTGGGTCTCCAGGTATAGGAGTTTTCTAAACTCAAAAGCAATGGAATAAATCACAAGAATAATATGTACTGAGAAACTTGACTATGGAAACATTTAAAATTTTTACACAACAAAACCCAAAATAAACGAAATGAAAAGGTGACTAACACACTGTGAAGAAAACATTTGCATTAAATATGATAACAGGCAGAGCTCATTTAAAAAAAAACAACAGATAAATAAAGGAAATAAATAGAAGACAAAAGAAGTACAAATGACTTCTGAATATTTGAAGAACTATGTGACCTATTTAACATCAAAGAAATGCAAATTAAAACAAGGTATAATTTTTGTCTAACAAAGTGGAAAGGACTAAAATAAGAATATTCTAATCAATGAGGAGGTGATGAAACAGAACTGCATTGCTGTGAACTGGTGTCAGTACAACTTCTTAGAAAGCAATTTGGCAATACATTTTAACAGTATTAAAATTTTTTTATAAATTACGAACTGGTAAATCTAGCCCAAATGATAAAAGAAAATGCAGAAAAGTTTATACCTGAAGATATTTGCTGTAGAGAACCTGAAAACAATTTAAATGCCTAATCAAATGAAAATAGATAAGTAGACTTACAGTACTAAACATAGTAAAGCATTTTGCAGCTATGAAAATATTTATAGAGAATTTTTAGACAGGGAAAACTGCTATGTAAATAGAAACAAAGCAAAACTCTAAAATGCAAGTACAGTATAGCTCAACTATATAAAACAGTATAAACAAAAGGAGAAAAAAGCCAGTTAAATGTTAACAATGCTTAAATCCCTTGTTTATGGGATTGTACATAATTTTATTATTTCCCTTACCTACTCTTAAGCAAATTCTCTGTAATAAATATATACTACCTTTATAATCAGAAGGAAAAGGTTTATCTCTAAAATAGAAAATCAAGGTTTACATCAGCTTATATAGCAAATTACATACTTCACTCATTTTTATTTCACCTAAAAAAGGGGTAATAACAAAGAGATAGAAATTAAGGCCAAAACTATATTGGTATTTAAAACTGCCTTAATGGTAGAAACTAAAACAGACAAATTAAAAAAATTAAAACTACAAACTTAAAACCTGACTGATAAAAGATATGAGTCCCTTAGATGTTTTTTATGCACAAAAAAGTATATGAACACTTATTTAGTTAGACTTGATCATTTTTCCCCCTAAAACATCTGGGTCATTAATAAAGTAATATGAAATGTATACTTTAAAATGATTTGCTACCTCCCGTCTTTGCCCCTGCAGTACCGTACCTCTAGGATTCTGAAAGTGGCATTGCTACCAGGATACAGTTCAGTCTTCAGGGGTCGTTTTCCATGTTCTTTAGAGTCTAGGTTGTCAACGTCAGATCCTGCTTTGCTTTGACCATCTGACGAGTCAGAACTTTTTTTATAATGATTTTTTTCTTCAGGCATAGTAGGGCAGTGCATTCTTGAGAAACAATTTGCAGCATTAATTTTTACACGATCCCATGATAATTCTTTTGCCTTTTCTTCCGTTTTTTGATCAACTGGGAGAATTTCAGGAAATTCCCTTAACAGCCAATTACGATCTTTGAAAAACTTATTCTTATGAATCTTGTAAAATGTGTCCCAATATTTACTAGCTTCACTCTCATACTTAACTAAAATAAAGAGAAAAAAGATTTATTTTATTATGAATTATATTTACTATTAGTTACTATTTTAATAACTAAATATATTTAATAATCAAATACTGTTAAATATACTACGTGTACTATTTATCACATATGACAATTATATTTATTATTGAATAACCTTAATATTACAATAATTTTTACTTGTCTGTTTTTTTAACCTCTTAAAGGTTGAAAGTACAGGGGTATTAAACCTCTCAAAAGGTGTCCATGTGTGGGATATTTAGGCCTATCCCTGTAAATCTACTTCTGTCTTCACAGTTTAGCCAATACATTTTTGTGAAGAATATAATCATTGCAAACTTTCTACAGTCTAATCTTGGAATCTTAATAATCACATTTTCACCAGTAACCCGTAAGGCTCTTTATTATCTTAGAGAAAGGACACCTCATTTTTTATGTCTCTGTAAATGCAGTTTCAACACAACAAATGTCTGTGTAAATGGGTAATCAGACAGGAAGCTGGAATTATAAATGACATAATCTTAGAGCTAGAATGGTCCATTGAAATAATCTATTCCAATCCCTTTGTTTTGCATTTGAAGAATGGACATCATGGAGAGATGGACCCACTTGTTCCAGGTCCCGGAGCCCTGTCATAGGAGAACCTGGACCATGTATCCTGACTGCTGGAGTCTAGGGGCCTTCCTGTAACTCCATTTTTACCCTACCTCCAGAGGCATCTCATATTATTGACATCTCTGAATATGAAGCCTTAAAGAGAATTTCTGATGCAATTTTAAAAGAGATACGCATTTTGCAATGTCATCCCTTAGATTGCCCCGGGTCCCAGGGTTAGGGTTAGGTCAACAGTCTCAGAACTTCAGGCAATATTTAGCTTTCTGCTTCTTTCTACCTGTAGCTTAAATGAATAAAATCATTAATTCACTCACTCTCATTTATTCATTCAACAAACATTTCTTGGATACTACTACATACCAGGCCTAATCCCTGGGTTAAGAATTACTTTCACCCAGTGTAGACACATGACACTTTTTAAATGCCTTCAAAAAAAGAAAAAACAAAAACAAAAAAAAAACTCTTCCACTGATACAGAATAATTTCCAAGACTTAATGTTATGTGAAAAAGCAAAATGTAGAACAGTATGTATATGATGCAACCATTTGTTATGAAAAAAAAGAAGAAAAAGAATACATATGTGTACAGACACAGAAAAACAGTCACTTATATATATACATACATTGGTATATAAACAGAATACTTCTGGAAGGATAATCACATAATTATTAATACTGGTTGCCTCTAAGGAGTGGAACTGAGTGGCTGGGGACTAGGGTTTAAGGAAGAATTTTCATTTGAATTTTGATCCATGTGAAATTACTATCTATTCCAAAAATAAATTAAACTAAAACTAAAAATAACAGACTCATTCCTTCTACAATTTTGAAGATGCCCCTACCCTCAGAACAAGCCTGTAGTCAGGTTCATCTTTGTTACAGAGCCCTGTCCTGAAGCCCTTACAGTCTTCCTTTTCTTTCTACTTTTATCTTTATGGCCTTGTACCACGGATCTCCACCCAACTGGCCACAAGACTTCCTTCCCATCAAGACTGAATTGTATCTGGCAGCAGGACTGCTATAAAGACAGAAACTCCCGTCTGTATTTAAGGTCTGAGAAATGAAAGTATATCTGTGTAACGAAAGAATTATGTTATGTTGGAGTACAAAACGCGCTCACATCTGCACTAATGGGAGAAAGCCTATTTATGATTAATCTAAAAATGTTATATATCTTTAAAATAGTTCTATCTCTACTTTAAAAAATTGGAGTGTTACTGATACACTGTGTAAGAAAACAAAACAACACTCTGAAAATTAGACTCAGGAGGAATTAGGAAACTGTCAGATTTCCCCAGGATCTTCTCAAACCTTCTCTTCCTTTTACCTTAAAAGCTCTCTTTGTAACTCTATGCTGGTAAGAGATTTTTCTGCTTAATAAAAAGCAACCACCTAAGAAGACATATATTTAGTCAAATCTCTAGTATCCGAGTTTCCAATACCAAGCTACTTGTGAAGTGAGTTTGAACCTAACTATCAGAAACTAGAATGTAACACCATACCTTGATTAATTTATGGGAATAGTCCCCTAGGAATTAATGGGGGTGAGGGGAAGGGAGGGGTAGACAGCAGGGGGGTAACCTGAAAGAAAAGATGTTCATAGCAGTCCTATTTACAAAGAAAAAGTGGGAAATAACTCAAATTGCCAACAGCATAGGAATGACCAAGCAAACCATTCATGTCGAAAAAGAGTAATCTTATGTAGCAATTAAAATTTAAAGGATAATAATATTAAGAGAAAGCATTCTCACACAATGGTCTATACACTGACTGCAACTCTAAAATTTATTTTATATTCATTTATAACAGTCAGATGAAAATTTGGAGTGATAGTAACAATTTAATGACAATTAGGTAGTTCTTCCTTTTGCAAAGTTTTATCTACGTCTCACAAAAAGATAAAAAATCTTGGTTGAATTCTTCATTGCACTTGGCTAAAGAGTTTCCTCATTTGATGAGGGATTGAATTACAGTATCTCTATGTTCAAGCTCTAAAAAGTCTATGTACTTTCTTATTTAATCCCATGAATTTATGGAGAACATTAAACATTACCAGTTCCACAGACTGCAAAATCTTGGATCAGATTGCTTTCATAAATATGAGCCTGTACTACTGTTTTAATTTCTACAGTTTATAAAGAAAATGAATCTGCAGTGAGGTGACTAGAATCTGGTTCAGATACCAAATATATCAAGCTCCTAAATTCAACCCTATTTTATTCAATCTTTAAAAAAGATTTGATTAGGATTAGAAGATGATGGTCAAGGTCTGCCAATATATACACTTTCCAGCCTTTTTCGAGTATTTCCCACTCAGGAATCAGGAGAAAAAAAAAAAACCAATTACATAAGTCATGATACCAGCAACAGCAGCATTAAAAATAACAACAATAGCATACACTGAGTGTTTATTATGTGCCAGGCACTACGTCAGATGCTTTACTTGGATTTTTTTTCCCATTTAATCCTAATAATAACTCTCAGACAAACATATTATTATTCAATTTACAGGCAAAAGGTCAAGGTCAGAGGGGATAAAAAATTTGCCCATGGTCACCCAGCAGAGCCAGGACTTGAATCAAGTCTATCAGATTTCATGCTGTTAGGATCATTACACTATATTGCTTTTCTAACACAAAGTCAAGATTAACTCCTTCCAAATTATGTTTTTTTCTGGAGGGAGGAGTAACTAGATTTATTTGTTATTTATTGGAGGTACTGGGGATTGAACCCAGGACTTCCTGCATGCTAGTCATGCACTCTACCACTGAGCTATACCCTCCCCCTGCAAATTATGTTTTTCTGAGTCTGTACTTCCCTCTCATTATGAAGCATCAAGTTGAAATTAAAACTTCAGTATGACTTATAATCAGTATAACTAAATAGTAAAAATAATGCCAATTGGAATGAACCTACATAAAAACAGATCAGAAATACAGAATTAGTTAAACCTCATTCAAATTATATAAAATATAAACTATGCAGTGTGATATGAAATTATGATGAGCAATGGGAACATAAAATGCTCTATGAAAATAGATGGGTTTGTAGGGCAGCAACAAAACAGAAACAAAACAGGATGGGCTGGGATAAAGGCTAATGGGCTGGAACTTTTTTTTTGCTTTTTAAAGTTGTGCTTTTCAGCACTACCTCCAATCAATGCTGGCGACTCCACATTTCCCAGTAGTGTGTGATAGCTTCTGAGACCCCAGAGAAGCTCAATCAAACTCATAATTACGGTTATGAGACAAGGTAAAAACCTTCAGCATATAATTCAATTTCCTGAACTGCAAGAGTACCTGTGATAACAGGGGGATTGGAAGAGTGACTTTCCTGACCACGAATGAAAAATTTAGTTTAAACCTGCTGTTAAGTTATCTCAAGTTCAGGCCAATAATGATAAAAGAATATAGTGTGGAGAAATCTGCCCTGTTTTCATCTTGTGCAACTGACTTTCTAAACAGGTATACTAATGATCAGTTTTTCTTGGAGGAGTCTTTTTCCCTTTCCTTTCCTAGGTTGCCAGTTCAGAGCTAATTGCTCTGTGCCAACAGCAGTAAAAGGGATGGAGTGCTCTGTTTAACCACAGCCAGATGAAGCAACTTCTCAATTATTCACTTATTAAATTCAATACTGCTGAGGGGAAGAAGGAATATGACACATGAACCATACTTACATATTCAGAATTCACCCTGAATCATACTGAATATCACAACTAAGAAACTGAATTAAACCATTTATGTATCTGACATGTATGATATGATTAATGTGAATTATGAAAATTTATTCTAAGTTGCAATGTAACAAAAAGCAATTTAAAGTTATTTTTGCACATCAATTACACAAACACCTGAGCTCTCAAAGTTGGAAATTTCCACATGTCACTGACAAAGTTAATTGTCTAATAAAAGAAAACTCCCAAAGTTATGAAATTTAAAGTATATTTCTAAGAGCACTGTATGAAATTTTAAACAACTGAAGTTGACTTATGAACAAGTACCCTAAATTTATCAGCACACAAAACTTTCAGCTACTCTATTTTTGTTTTCCCCACACAGGACACTCTTAAGTGATAAGGTATTCTATTTTGCTTGACAAGACAATGCATCCTAGGTAGATAGTTATTTACAAAGATATTTTAATAGCAGCCACTTTTGTTATTAAGTTTTAAAAACTCATTACATTTGCTAAATAACTAGCTGAGATATAACATATTTGGGGATTTTTAGGAAATTATAAAATATAATCATGTTAACTCAAAAACTGCCAAATGTTTTCTCTGAATTAACCTGCTTTAAAAAGAAATCTGAGCTATTATAAAATTTGAAATAAATTACCAAAAGGAAATGTGGAATTAAAAATCATTAATTTGGGTATCTAGTTGAAAGAAATACTGCTAATCAGAGCCTAGGGGATATACATTTTAACCGCAGGAACAAGAAGTTGACCATCATATGGCAAAAGACTGACTATATGTGATGGATAAATTCTTATATTTAGAATTGTGCGGGTGCTTCCGGACTTCAGTTCTCACCAACAGCTGAGACAATAGGTGAGAAATGGGAAATGGGAGTGACAGGAGAGACTGACACACACACAGACCAAAAGAAAAAATGCCAGGGAGTTGGCCGGCATGGGAGAACAACCAGTATTTCCTCCCAGTGGCATTAAAGTAAGAGAAAATTAATAAACAGTGCTCATGCCGTATAATCATCTGCAAATGGAATACTCTGTGATGGGAGAAAACTGGCTCTTTCAAAGACTTAGGACCCTCCTGGATAAGAAGAGATGATAGTTAACAGGGGCACTGGGAGAAGAACCGGGTCAGAGCTTCCTTTGGGTTTTCACGTTTGGGAGGAGAGCTTTTAAACAGATCTATTCACCTTGACCCATATTCATCAGAGACACTGAATATCAAATTAGAAGCCTCACCTGGGGCTTCTGCAGACTAGCAGGTAGGTGATCCCTGGTGAAGACTGGATTGGATGGCTGGGTAGGTATTTACTTTCACTGTAACGTCCTGTCACCCAACATAGTTCCTCAGAACAAAAGTTTTCTTTCTTTGCCACCCTCACAGCAGCCTTAGCTGCTGCTCTGTGCAGCCTTGCTAAAGTGTGATGAAACGGTCACCCTAACAGTATGTTCCTCTCCTTGTAGCAGTTCTCTGACATCTGTGAAGTCCACCGCACTAAGCAGTGTTACGGGCGGACGCAGAGGGGACCCAGCAGAAACCTCGATCATTTTGAGTCATTTTAAAATGGACTCTTTTGTTCTGTGTCTCCAGGGCAGACAGAAAGCCTGCTCAGAAAGAGACTGGACATGCTAATAAGCAAACCAAATGCTTCAAAGCAGTATCATCAGTTCTCTCCAGCCTGCTTTTCCTGCTTCTATAGAGAGAGGCCAGTCACCACCTTTCTATTTCAGTCACATTATGGTTCTGTGGGAACTGTCATTTTCCTTTACTGCGGTTTCCAAGGCCCGAAAATAACCTTCTCATTAGTTTCACTCAAGTTCATTGTTAACATAAATAGGCCAAAATAGGCAGCCACGTACAGAGCACTTTAAGGGAACATTATCAGACTGCTCATCTATTTATGGTCTCAATAGAAATATTCAAAAGAGCACAAAAAAAATCCTTGGTTTTTCATATTCTTAGGAAATACACTGTGGATAATTTTTAACTTCCTGGAAACGAATTAAGATGACTGATATCTTTTAATTCTGTTTAGGCTTGACTCTCTCTGTCACATCCAGGTGGCCGCTAGCAGAAGCTTGAGTAATGTGGAAAATATGTCTGTGCAGCTGCTGGCGAAGAAGCAAAATTATACTTCCTCAGAAACAGTGTGACAGAGTTCCTGCAAAGGAATGCAATGTTGGCTGATTTGCAAGCAGAATTGCCACTGGTATGCATTCTCCAATTCAATCCCAACACTCCCTGGACACATCCCATTCTGGAATGGCATGGCTGCAGCTCATAAAAATAGAATGGTTCCACTGTGGATCAGGTGCTCTTCTTTCCTGTCTGTCCTCCAGGACACACGCATGCTTAGGGTAAGGAAGGAAAACTAGCTCTGAGGAAGAACAAATGATGCCAGAAGACAGATCAGGCCCCACTGCCCCCCTCACTGGTTAAGGGCAGCTAATGAGGGCTGTCTTATTGGCTCAGTTTCAATAGTTACCTTTAGCCTTAACTACGGACAAAGTCACTTGAACAATAGTTAACTACCAGTAGGATCAGTGATTTTCCCTACGCCTGGCTTGCACAGAAGAATGCAAACATCTTTCCCTGGGGAGTTTCAGGACAGCTGATCAATCTGGAAACAAAATTGTATCTCAGGGATTGGCAAACATTTTCCATAAGGGGCCAGATAGTAAGTAGTCTGTGTGTGCTACATAAAGCCTCTGTTGCAACTATTCAATTCTGAAGATACAGCTCAAAAGCAGCCATAGACAGTATGTTAACAAATGAGTATGTGTTCCAATAAAACTTTATGTATAAAAACAGGCAGTGGGCTCGGTTTGGCCCATGGCCATAGTGTGCTCCCTCTTATTCTAACAGGTACACTGATGTTCCTACAAGAGTAATCGAAAATGATGACAATCAGAATCAAGTTGTTCTGGCAAAACTAATCTATGGTATTAGAAGCCAGAATAGTGGTTGCTCTTTGTGGAGTCTGGAGGAGTTTGGGAAAGTAATTGGGACGGAGAAGAAGGAAGTTTCTCGGTTACTGGTAATACTGTTTCTTAATGTGGGTGTTGGGAAAATTCACTGAGTTTTGAGAGAACTTATTTATGAGTTGTGTTAATTTCTGTGTGTATTTGGAAATTCAATAAACTTTTTTTTAAAGAAAAAAACTCAACCTGTTTTAAAGGAGAAGTCGTTCAAGAAAAATAAGGTAGAAAATCCTCTCTAGAGAGTGTAGAATTTGGGCCAACTGTCTGTGGGTTCCTAGCTATGCAGTGAGAAGGACAAAGGCCACATTTTCAGTGTGCTTTAAAAAAAATTATGGTAAAAAAACACATAACATAAAATTTACCATCTTAACCATTTTTAAAGTGAACAGTGTAGTAGTGTTAAGTATATTCACATTGTTGTGAAACAGATGTCCAGAACTTTTTCATCTTGCAGATCCGAAACTCTACACCCATTAAACAACAACTGTGTGTTTCCCCTCCCCTCAGACCTTACTAACCACCAGTCTACTTTCTGTTTCTATGAATTTGACTACTTTAGGTACCTCACATCAGTGGAATCATATAGTATTTGCCTTTTAGTGATTGGCTTACTTCACTTAACATAATAATGTCCTCAAAGTTAATCCAGATTATACCATGTAACAGGGATTCCATTTCATTTTATGGCTGGATAATATTCCATATGAATAGACCACATTTTGTTTATCAATTTATCTGTTGGACATTTGGGTTGCTTCTACATTTTGCCTATTGTGAATATGAACGAGAGTGTGCAAATATCTCTTCAAGACCCTTTCAATTTTATTGGCTATAGATCCAGAGGTGAGGTTGCTAGATCATATGGTAGTTCCATTTTTAATTTTTTGAGGCACTTTCATACTGTTTCCTATAGACATTGCACTATTTTATAATTACACCAACAGTGCATAAGGATTCCATTTTTCCACATCTTAACCCACACTTGTTATTTTCTGGTTTTGTGATTGTAGCATAGCCCAATTCTTTAGAAGCCTTTTTTGAAGACTGGCAAGGCCTTACCTAAATTAAACTCTAAATTAAAGGCCTCCAAGAAAGGTACCTTAAATCCTTATTAAAACTTTATGTTCATCCCAAAAGACCAGCAACATTTTCATATGACTTCACCTTCTTTGCTCAAAGTTTTTTAATTCGTTGAAGGTTCCTAGCAGGTGAAATGCACAACAGCATAATACAGGATACAGAGCAAGAGGAAAATTTCAGAATTATGTTTTCATATCTTGTTTGAAATGCCGTCTTTTGTATCTCTCAGAGAAAGCAATAATATGACTATTAAAAGAGCAAGTATAGGGTGAATACATAATTTATTGCATTAACTTTGGCTCCACTACACTGGAGTAACTGGGAACTCTCCCAAAGGAACAAGTAGATTGGCATGGGTGGAAGCTAAGAATTCTCCAAACTAATGACACAATTAGGAGGGAAAGGGTCTAAGGTGTGAACTAAATCAGTGGATGATCAAACAGAGAAGCCAGGCTGCAGGAGCTACATGTAGTTGCCTACCTTGCTCTTCCAGAAGGACTCGCACAGCTGAGTTTTCCTCTACTTTTCTTCTGGCTGCTGCTTCTTCTTCTTTTGACCACTGCATGTGATCCCTTTTAAAAAATTAAGATATAAAACATGCTTTATAATTGAAGAAGGCAGAAAAAGGGTGACAAGAGATACATCTTTCATTCTAGATTAGTCAGACAAATGACACAAACAAATTTCAAGTCAAATGAATATATTTTGTGTCAGATGTTCCTTCTGATAGTGCTGGTACAACCCTGGAACTCCTACAGTTCTTCTATTTAAATCTGGTTATATTGCAAGCCCCAGCCACCTTCTGGAAATGACTGCTGAAGTAACGTCCCAGGAGTACTATGTTACGTGTCTGTCTGGGTGCTGGTATGGTTTACTGTGTATCACTCTAAGCTAAATTTACTTGCTTTTTTGTTAATTTATGAACAGGGCATTCTTTAACAGTTTTTAATACTCCTTTTACACTTTTCTTATAGCTGCCTTAATTCCTGTTTATGAATTCATTTACATTTAAATGACAGACTACTTGATAGAGCATATAAGAAGGTCATCTTTCTAAGATCTGGCACTTTCTATAAGTATTTTCAGTTTCAGAATTTACTCTATATGAGAGGATATTATTTTCTGCTGCAAAGATGTCTTTCTTTGAATAGAAGCAACATCTTTATACAAAAAAGGTGATTTTTTTTCCTTTGGTTTTGTTTTTATAAACCCCGCATTTCTTTTTTTGCAATGGGTAAGACTATAAGTGAGTGATGTCGTTTCCTGGAATAAACCATTTTTCTAAACAGTAAAGAAATCACACAGCCAAAATTCAAGCCTGTTGTAGTCATCTAGGAGTAATGAGTCCCAGGGCTAAGGTGGCAGCAATAAAAAGCAAAAAGGCAGAATGGAGAGAGAGACACTGTGAAAGAGAATGAGCGTTATGACCTGAAGATTAACTATATGTTAAGGAGAGAAGAATGAGAGTCAGAATGATTCTTAGGTCTCAAAACAGTATTGAGGAAAGTAGGGGGGGTAATAATAACAGAATAAGGAGTTTCTTTGGGTGGAATGAAGACAAACTTCGTACTATTTTAAGTCAAGTTTATGCAATCAGATATGAGAGAGTATATTCCAGTGACCTGGCTATAAATACACCACTGAAAGGTGAGAAATTGCTTTCTTTCAAGAAGGATCAAAACCGGTACACTGAAGTTCCCAGGAAAAGTATATGATAATGTAAAAATCAGTGTTCTGTAGATCAAAATTTAACCACTATTATTGCAAACAAAACCCAATCACTTACAACCCAAATAATCATTAAACAGCTTTGTCACTTGTTCTAACGAATGAGATTCAAACAAATTTTTGCTTTGACTTACTTTAAGCAATCACATAACTTGGAGCTGGTAACTACATTTTATATTCTGTACACATAAATAGAGAATATTATTACATGATAGCTATGACATTAAAGACTGTAAGTCATTTCTTGAAAAAAATAGTATTACTAAGGCTGAGGACAAGCTTCTCATCTATGAATTTCTATAAAACATAAGAAAGAAAATAGAACAGTCCCTGTAAAAAAAAAAAAGCTCTGAGACAATGAGAGTGTATGTGGTTTTTAGCTTTAAGCATTTCTTTTAAACTATTAGTTTAACTTGTTTCTTCCTGAGTATTTAATAGATTTAGTTATTTCTTAAATTACTCTAACTTCCTTACACTGTTTTTTATGTTGCTTCATTTTCTTAACTGCTAAGTGAGGGGAATATTATACCCTAGGCCCCTACAGAACAGATTTTCCACTGTACAGTTACAGTATTCCCATAGAAACCCATAAAATGTTTCTACTGTATTTATGGGGACTTCCTCTAGACGTGCTGCTTTATGGCAGTTCTTTATATTAGAAGAGTCTAATTCATGTATACCAAAACCCAGCAGACAGCAATAAGAATCATTTGGGTTTATGAGTAATAAATACAATTATAACAGAATTTAAGCATAGAGACAACTAACTAACAAAACAAAATAATCAAGTATTTAACAACCACCACCACCAGCACCACTACAACCACTGAAGGAAGAAAATGGCTTATACTGTTTGACTTGCAAATTGTACTTCTGGGAATTTATTGTAACAGAACAACTAGAAAGAACAGAAAAGTTCTGTACTGAGCAGTATCTGTACAACAACATTCACTGGAATACCAAATATAATATCAAAAAATTAGAAACAACCTCAGTGGTAGGATAACAAAACTATTATAAGTAATATTATGACAATATACGAATATTATGCCGACATTTAAAAGGAGAGATATGAAGGTTACGTAACAACATGAAAAGGTGTATATGAATAGCATGAGGTTAAAAAAGCAGATCCCCAAATTATATATGTATTATAATCATAACTATGTAAAATTATATACACACTGGGTGAAATAAAAAACATTATATTATAATAGTGGAATTAAGAGGTAATTGTCTTAAAATTTCCTTAATATTATAAAGCTGCTTCAACTAGAGGTAATTTTTTTAAAAACTATATTTACAAAAAAAAACTATACTATATGTTTAAGACATATAACAATGCTCATTAAAACTTTATATCGTTCTTCTTGGGGGAAAACCCAGTCATCTTTACAATAAAAAAGAAGGTATGTTTTCCTAAAAAAGAGAATTGACAAAAAATACAAATATACTATTTTTCCTAAAAAATTTGAATTTGAGAAAAATAAATCTTAAAAATAAAAGGATTTTTAGTAAGAAATTTTCACAACATGGCTAGTAGAATTAAGTCATAATTTTGGAGTAGTCATAAGTCCTATGACTTCAGTTCATATGTGTGCATGTATGTGTGTATCTCGTATGCCTTCTATATGTACAGAGCAATTGAATGATGATGCTTTGTATAAATAATTGTGTATTTAGTTTGGTTTGGAAAAGTTAAAGCGTGCACACACACACACACACTCCCCAACTGTTTAGCTTGAGTAAAAATGTTTTTGAGGATCCTACCTATAGAAAACTCTGCTAAATGTGGTCCCACTTCCTATTATAATTTTAACAATCATATATAAACCAAACCACTCAGTGTAAGCTATGTAGAGAGAATGTTTTTCTGTCTTTGTCATTTACTGTGCATGTAAAAGTGTCATTATAGAACAAAATTTAAAGACAAATTTAATAGACGTATTGGGTGCCTAGTGAATTAAAAATAAAATATTCTTAGGTCAAAGGAAGAAGTGGAGTTTATTAGTTTCAGCTTAAAACTATTTCAATAATCTTTAACTCCAAAACAAAGTCATTTTTATTACATAGTTACAATTACATTAATAACAGAAACATTTAAAGAGAAAAGTCTTATCTTTTGTTTAAACATCCTAATCTATTAACAGTTCATAATTTTTCAAGTTCCCTTTCTGTATTTGTGGATACACACACATATCATATAGGTACAAAATCTTCATAATTATGATTTAAAACTGCTGAATAGGACTTGTGATTTGGGTCATGAGTACCTGGTAATAGGCTTACCCTCATGCCATAAACAGTAATAAAACCAGATAAAATAGTATACAAAGCAACTGTTTTTAGGCATTGGACTACACCTCAGACAGTGTAGGACTGTGATTCTTAAGAGAAACACAAAAAGCCAGTGCTCACACTTACCCTGGCTTTCTGCCTGGGACATGTTCTAGACTGTGGTGCAGAGGTGGAGCCCAAGGAGAAACCGGCTGTCTCACTGAGTGGCAGTTTTGTGCGTTGAGAAGGCAGGTATCAGTGTTCAGAGCTGCTGAGATGGTGAGGCTGTGCAGCAGAATACTGAATAAGAAGGCGCTGGACAAAACTGAGGGCCCTTGAAGTCTGCATAGGCAGTACTAAGCCATAGTGGAGAGACCTCTCTGAACATCTCAGGTATTCAGTTAAGAGCCCAGAAATCCCAGGCTATAGGAATAATAATGATACTAGATTCAGAACAGTACCGAAGTATTTTCACCCTAACAATGCCTAAAATTAAATCTGACCTGACCAAGAAGATTTGGCAATAATTTACTGACCTGCCAGAAAAAACTCAACACCTTTGAAGGAAGACAACATAATCCAGATTCCATATAAGATATCCATAATGTCCACCATACAATCAAAACTATTAGCATGTGAAGAAACAGGAAAGTGTAATCCCTAAACAAGAGAAAAGGTATTCTCTTTTACAGACTGTCTCTATACAGACTAAGAAAATCCAAATGCTGAAATTAGGTACACAAAGACTTCAAAACAGCTTTTTAAAAAAAAGTTTAAAGATTTCAAGAAAAAGATGAATAGAATGAATGAATAGGTAGGACACCTCAGCAAAGAAATGGAAACTATTAAAAGGACATTCTAGAACTAACCCACATCAATATCTGAAATAAAAATTCATTGTGTAGGCTTAAAAGTTGACGGATGCTGCAGGAAGAAAAGGGTCAGTGAATTTAAAGATGTAGAAAGTATCCAAACTGAAAAAGAGAGAAAGAGAAGACTGGAAAAAATGTATTAGTCTTGGTAATCTATAGGATAACACAAATTGGTCTAAGAAACACATAAATTGAAGTCCCAGAAATAGAGGAGAGAGAGAGAGAGAGGAAAAACTGAGGAAAACTAGTTGAAACTTCTCCAAATTTGATTTTTTATAAAAGTAAAATCAATAAATCCAGCAAGTACAGTAAACCCCAGGCAAGAAAACTTACATATTTATTTCCTTTAATACTCCCAACACCCCATGAAAAAAACTTGCTCAAATTCATACACCTGGTAAAGGGCAGAGTCAGGACTTAAATTCAGATTTTTTGGATTCTAAAGTCCATGTTTACCTACTATATTAACTCTCAGTCTAGCTGTAAGCTTCTAGTAGACATGAACTGGATCCCATATTTCTCTATATTGACTCAGATATTCAAACATACTTACTGGGTACCTAAAATATAAGGAATATACTGATGAAACAAATAAAAGCTAAGCTCTTCTGTGAAGAATCATACAATCTAATAATGAAGATAAAACAGACACTTAAGTAACTAAAGTACATCCTAGGAAATGGTAATAATAATAAAAGTAATATAGCTAACTCTTATGTGTTGCTTATTTATCATGCACATACAATTTATATTATAATATATACTAATTCAGTCCTCACAACAATGCTGTGAGTAAATATTACTATTATTATCCCATCTTAGAGATGAGGAAACTGAGGCACAGAGCAATTAAGTAACTTCCCAAGGTTAGACATATGGACTGCCTCTCATAACAAATGATTATATAAGGAGAATTCAGACTATATAATAAGAAAGAATTCTTTAAAAAAATTTTTTTTTCTTTTTGGGGGAAAGGTAAGTAGGTTTATTTATTTTATTTATATGGAGGCACTGGGGATTGAACCTAGGACCTTGTGCATGCTAAGCAGGTGCTCTACCACTGAGCTATACCCTCCTCCCAAGAAAGAATTCTTGATATCTGAACTCTATTGGGATTCTGGAAACAGTTTATTACTTAAATGGGTTATATAATAGAAAGTTATTTTGCAAGATACAGGTCTTACCTTGGAACTACAGAGAATTGCTTAGCCCAGTGTTTTTAAACTAAAGGCCATGACCCTTTTAGTGAGTCATGAAATCAATTTAGTTAGTCTAACCTACACTTAAAAAGAGAAATGAATGGAAATTGAGTAGAAAAGAGTAAACGGAAACTATCAGTATATGTCTCACATGGTAAAACTGGATAGGAAACTTCTGTTCCTGTTTCATATACGTGTATGTGTTATGTGTAGTACATGTACTGGTCCATGATGCAAACTGTACTTCTTTGTGTGGATCATGCCAAAAAGTTTGAAAGTCACTGGCCTAGCTGATTTAGTCGTATGATAATACAAGTGCTTACTGCTTCCTTATAAATTTCAGGGATGCCCTGAAAAGTTCCTATATACTTAAACCAGGAACAGTGTGGAATAAGGAATGATTTTTCCGAGTAGCCACGTAAGTTGCTCAAAATACACAGATGTCTAGGCCATGTCTCACAAACATTCTGAATATAGTTTGAGGTCAGTGTCCCCCAAGTTGATAAATATACTAAATGTAATGAAAAGACTGTAAGTAGAATATAAGATGGTTTAGTCACTGTGGGAAACAGTTTGGTGGTTCCTCCAAAAGTTAAATATAGAATTACCAGATGACCTCACAATCCCATTCCTAGGTATATATTTCAAAGAGTTGAAAACAAGGACTTAGACAAGTACATGTGCACACATGTTCACAGTGGCTCTATTCACAAGAGCCAATACGTGGAAACAGCTTAAATATCAGTCCAGACAATGAAAGAATAAACCAACTGTGCTATGTACACACAATGGAATATTATTCTGTCATCAAAAGGAAATGAAGTACTGATTGCTACCATGCTACAACGTGGATGAACCTCCAAGACATTAGGCTAAGTGAAAGAAGCCAGACACGAAAGGTCACATATTGAATGATCTCATTTTTACAAAATATCCAGAAGAGGTAAATCCATAGACACAAAACACAGATTAGTGGTTGCCAAGTGCTGGAAACTGCAACATAAGTATAAACTGTTTAACAGATAAACAATTTTAGAATGATGGAAATGTTTCAGAACTAGGTAGAGACACTGGTTTTACAAATTCATGAAGGTAATTAATGCCACTGAATTGTTTATTTTAAAATGGTTAATTTTATGTTATATGAAATTCATTTCATTAAACTATTAAAAATTATAGCTTACAGGCAGATGTGAATACCAGTAATACAGAAATCTAGAATCTAGAGGGCAAATATTACTAAGGACATTGGAAACTGAAAAAAAAAGGGTATTTTAATTTTTTCTCAAAGAATTTTTTAAAAGAGGTTCATATATAGAACAAATAGTTCTTACTAACTAAACTAGAGGTTAAAGAGAAAAATGAATTGTAGTCAATTCTGATCAACATCTCAGAGAAAACTGACATGTATTTTTTAAGAAACATCTTTAAAAAATCAAGATTTAGCCTGAGGAAACATTATTTTTAAATATCACAGAGGAAATAAGGAAGGAAGGAAGAACTTTTGGACAAAACTTTGGACTTGAAGTAAGGGGAATGTAGACAAGTCTTTTGGTTTTCCGTTTAACTTACATATCTTCTTGCCAAACCAAAGAAAAAAGGAGGGGGGAACCATGAGGAGGTGATGTGAAACAATTACTTTCCTCTTCCCTTGGAGGAAATTATTTTTTTATTATTATTACAGTATATATCTATCTGCCTTTGGAGAGCATTCACTACTTATCCTGGCAAAGGAAGAATAACCTCTTGGGGGGTATGCTGTGAAGGAGGATGGCTGTAGAGACAAGATCAAGGCTTTTCAAACTTTGATCAACTAGACCCTAAAGGTCCCCAGGCTGCTGGAGTGAGGGAGGTGTGGGAGAGGAAAAGGGAGGTGGAGCTGTTGATCCCCCAAGCCTCTGTGCTCAGTTAATTCGGAGTATGTTTGTTTTTATCTTTTAAATATTGGGATTCTTTGTTAAGACTTCACTTGGAAAAAAAACTCTACTGCTAAAGAAAAGTCTGAAAATCATGGACTGGATCAAGGATTCCTAAACCTGGCTGTTCAACAAAAATAACTAAAAGAGCTTTTTCAAATCACAAATTCCTGGGCCACACCACTAATCCTAGTGAAATAATAACTTCCCAAGGGATTCTTATGCAGTAGCCCTAAGCTAGCCCACAGTGTTGGCAGGCACTGAACCAGATGACCCTTACTTCCCTGAGCGCCTACGACAAAACAGAACTTACATGGGCAGGCAGGAATCTTGGGCAAAAGAGCTGGTGGTAGCAGATGGAAAAAGAGATGGAGACAACCAAATCACTAGAGTCTAATGAAGAAAAAAAAAAAAACTGGCAAACGAGGAATTTGCCTAGGACCAGAAGTTCCTCTGGAGGTTTACTGCCTGGCAATTATCTCACAGCCTGTTACAACTGTCCATACTGGTGATGGTAGTCAAAATGATTTAATTTAGCAACTATCCAAGAAAGTATAATGTCAGTCACATATGTAACTTAAAATTTTCTAGTAGTCACACTAAAAACAAGTGAAAAGAAATGGAATTAATTTTAATAATATATTTTATTAAATTGAATATATCCAAAATAATACCATTCAATATTTAAGTCAAAAATTATTAATGATATATTTTACCTTTTATTTGTATTAAGTCTTCAAAATGTTACAGCACATCTTGATTCAGACTAACCAGGTTTCAAGTGTTCAACAACCACATGTGGCTAGTGGCCACCATATTGTATCATGTGGACTAATTAACAAAAAGTCAATCTATTTCCTTTTAAATTGATATTCTGTTGCAGTAGAAACACAAACAGTACATGCATTTCTTTCCCAGCCCTTGAGGCCCTGCTCCCAAGGCTAGTCAGATAACAATTTAGTCTGCAGATACCGTACCCAACCTCACATCTTCAGCCCTGACCTTTCTCCCTCTTCCTGCAGGCAGAATCTATGTTCTGGACATTTTTATCAGAATGTCCTGCTCCCAAAACCTATTCAAAATATCTAAAACTAAATTCACCATCTTTATTCCAAAATTAAAAAAATCAATTAATCTCTTGATTTTCCTATTTCTATTGGTCATTTAGGATCAAACCTTCAGAGTCAAATGTTTTCTTTTCCTTTATTCTACTAAAGCACCAAGTTCTATTTTTTTTCTTCCCTTGCAATCTCTCTCTCATTGGCCCTTTCCTGCTTCTTGTTCTACCTGCTGATTGTTCAGTGTACTGTTATCCAAATGCTTATTCTTAATATACCATGTATAATGAATGCCATCTCTCTTCAGTGACTTTGTAATACCTTTCACTTGAGCTGTGAATTTAAGACCACACATAATCTTGCTCCCACCCCCACACTTGGCCTAGCATTCCAGCCTTACCATTTACCAATCTCTTAGAGAGTCTTTATTTTAGACAAACTGTTCTCTTCTCCTGAATATGCCCCATACATCCCTATCTAGGTGGGTATGACTTTCTACCCATCTAGAATGCCCTTTACCTATCCAAGTCATTATACCATGAATACTTATGTGTCAGGCACTGTACTAGGCACTGGAGATGGAATGAATACCTCAGTTTCCCCACTTAAAGAAATCTTCCTTCATATGTCAATTATACCTCAATAAAGCTGAAACTAAAAAGAAAAAAAAGTCTTCCTATGTCAAAACAGAAGTGGTTTTGCACTGTTGAGTTCTTCTTATAAGGCATAAGTCTTTATAAGTCTATATGCCTTATAAGAACACACTGGGCCCTTAAAATTTACAATCTTCTATCACTAATTCTCAATTTTTCTTATAAATATCCATTTATCTTCACAAATAGAGAGTGGATTTCCTAAAAGCATGGACTAAGGTCAACCCAGTGTGTTCTCCCTGGTGCTCAGGAAGCAGCAGGTACTGAGTACACATTTGCTAATTGACAAGTACTCGTAAAAGAGGGAAGGGCCTGTGGGGCAAGTAAAGGGCTCTACCTAAAAAAGAGGTCCCCCTCAGTGATACGCTTTCAAATCCAGATCAGAGGTAAGCAGGGAGGGCCTGCAAGAAGCCCAAAGCTGAGGAAAGCACTTGGGAAAATTCACTCTTCCAATTCTATTTGCAAAGAAATTCAGAATTCGCAACACTTAAGTTAGGATGAGTTACCCCGGCTTTTGGACCTCAACAACTTATGTATTCAGTTTTAACAATCCTTTTTTGGCACTAAATCACAATAATAACACTGATGATGCTTAATGTACACACGTAATATCAAACCTAAAAAGATAACTCACCACATGTTGTGTTCAAAAACTTTGGCTGGGTCAGTTAAAATCCTTGATCCCAGAGGAGCCACTGGGTGATAACTACTTTGGTATCTGTGTGGCACCTCTCTGATCTTTAGACAGGCAATAGAATTTCTCCAAATCACATTCATTCTAATCAGCACCTGGAAAGTTACAAATGATTAGTCAACATGGATTAAACAGTGTATTGCTTACCTAATAGTCAAAAACTAATCTAAAAGGCTTACAAACTGAGAAAGGATAAAAAACTAAAAATTTTTAAATGAAAGATGGGCATGATAGCTTCTATCCCGAAGTATTTTTCAGGCCAAAAGAAGTGAAAAGAATATTTGGAATGTGCAACATTGGCTGGCATTCTTTATAAGTCACAGCCTTGACCAACTTTGCTGTGTTTGGTATTTGCTTATGTAATTTTTAGCACATGGCCAAAGCATGTAAGCCCAGAATCTGGATTTTGTATATTAAAAAGTTTTTAAAGTGATTTTATTATTTTGTTCTGGGAATTCTAGGCAAATGTATTTCTAGGGAATATCTGATGACCACTGTACCAAAAATCCAAGTAGAGAAGCAGAATTAAGTAAACAAATCTATTAAATCTCATTTCCTGGACTGAGCTGAATAATATGAAAACTGGTCAAATAAATAAGTAAATACTGTGTTAAGATATGATCCCAGCAATTCTTAAAATCTAACAACCCTGTATACATACATTTTTAAGAACAGTCAGTAATACATTTGCAAAATAGGTTTCCGCATGCTTAAATCCTAGCCCCAAAAGGAAAATCATCAGTTGATTAGCCAAATCTAACTCCATTTCTGGAAGAATAACTTAAACATTTAAAGAGTATGTTATTTTAATTATGTATTGGTGTGTATGTTGGCTTAAAATCTTTACAGAAAAGTATCAAAAAGAAGCTCTAAAGAGCTTGTTATTTCCAATAAGAATCTACAGTGATGCTGCTCGGCATTTCATCCCCATTCAGTTGTTCATCACAACATTCAGTCTAACGCTATAAGCTGTCAGGTAGAAACAGACGCTAAAAGGTGTGTATATATAATATGTATTAGAGACTATCCAAGTTGCTACTAGGCATAAAAATGATATGTATTATACACCTTTTACCAGCTTACTGAAAGTCAATGGGTTTTAAGACTGTGAATTCCAAAACAAATGGCAGAATGTCAAAAATATCTCATTGTGCTTTTAAACATAAAATTCAAGATTTTCCTTTTGGGGAAAAAAAAGGCTTAGTCATACACACCAAAAAGACTATAATGGTTCCATTCAATTGTGACTAACAGCGATGAGAAATGAAACATTTAATAGCTAGTGCGGGTCTCCTGTTTCTTATTTGTTTTCCCTTCTTCACTAAATACAAGCTCTTTGGTGGAGGAAAATGAAATCAAATGCTCTGCCTACCACTACCATTCCTCTGATGTGCCATTGTTCTTTTCTCCTGCCACTGTTCCACATAAGACTAACAAAACCCTACCAGCACACTTATTTTTAGAGCTCTCTTTCTGCACTGAATATTATTCATAAAATCTTCTGTATGCTGAAGAGTAGAAACAGATTACACCTAGAAAAAGAAGCAATTCATGCTCAAAAGTGTAAAATGATGTAAATGTTTTCCACCCAGGAAAGCCAAATCAAAATGAAATTTCAATCCTTCAAATAATCATGTGATACTTATCTATATCTATCTATATATAGAAGAGGAAGAGGGTAAAAAAAGATGTGAGTTTCTCTCACTATAAATGACCAAGAACCTCTATAGACAGCTGGGAGACAAAAAGTCATAACCAGACTGGATATTACACAATTCAGAAAAATGTCAGAGAAGTGTGTGCCCTGCAGGCTGCTAGCCCACAGAGAGAGCGTGCTAAACCCAGCACCTAAACATGTGGCAATTTGTCCTGCTTAGGCAGCTGTTTTTCTAATTAACCACACAAACATCTTTATCTATTTGATTTATGTATCATCTGTAACAGGCACACACAGCCTTGCATTGCTTTTTATCTTTTTATTATATACATGCATAGTAAATTTATATAATAAATATAATATAGATAAATATGTAATAAAATTATATACATGCTTTTGCTTTCTCAACCAAATTGCAAACTTCTAAGGGAAGCACCAAGCTGCTCGTGAATTAACTGCTTGACTGACTGCACAAAAATGATACTTGTCTGACATAAATTTAACTGGAGGAAAGTTACTTCATATTTCCCAAAATGGCTCCTTAGATTCTTGCAGTATGGAAGAAGGAAGTGACAGAAGAGTGTGACTGTATACAAACAGCTATCCAGTTATGGTCACTGCAATGAAGAACAAATGGGTGCTTTACGTTATGACTACCATGTTAGCTTAATGTTTACCAGGTCATGGTTCCATTTTGTGATGGGAAAAGAAGAGAAGGGCAGGGTCAGCCCCATTCAGAAGGCTGGTAGAGAAAGCTGGTTTCTGCCACCAGGGAGTCCCCACTCTCTTTATGTACCCTCTATTCACTCTCTTTTGGCATATGCTAATTTGAGTACAGATTTAACTAAGATATTATCTGCTTAATGAAACTGTATGGATAAGCAGTATTTTTATTTGAAATAACACAAAGGAGCAGAGCTAAAAATATTCCATTCACCCAAAAGAGGGCAGGAAAGGAAGAAAAAGAAACTAAAAACAGATGAGACAATTAGAAAACGAATACCAAGATGACATATTTAAACCCAATCATATCAGTAATTACATTAAATATAAAGGGACTCCAGTTAAAAGACACAGATTGTCAATTTGTATGAAAAAGCAAGACTAACCATCTACAGGTTCCCCCCACTATCGAAAAGTAGAGCACTCCTATGAAACCTTTCATAAGCCAAAATGGCATAAAGCAAAAAAGCAATTACCTTAGGACACATTTTGCTAATAGATGACAAAATAAACCGAGGGTAAAGCACAGATGCTCAAACCTATGGCGGCTGGACGCTGAGTTGCTGAGTGTAGTTCGCAGGGAAGGAGCTTGGAGGTGCCACTCTCAATGTTCAGGGTACGTGCTGCCTCTATAGGGGCTTGCTGCAAAACAAATGCTGAATGATATTTTCGTTTTTTGCCTTTTTTCGCAAAAGTGAAAATCCTCTTCAGATTTCTTTCATTTAATGAAAACAGGTACCAATGCAGGTCTTTCATGAAACTGAAGTAGGTAAAGCAAACTTCTGAAAAGCAGGGCCTGCCCATACTGTTTATAAGAGAAGTGTTTTAAAGATACAAATAGATTACAATTAACATGAGACACTGTGCAAATGCTGCAAGCAAAAACTGGTGGAGGTATAAGGAGAGAGAAAGTAGGCTTAAAAAAAAAGATGGTTACATTTAATAATGATAAGCCAATTTATCAAGACATAACAATCCTAAATGTGTATGTACCTAGTAACAGAGCTTCAAAATACATGAAGCAAAAATGGGCAAAATTTTTTAAAAGGAAAAATGAACAAATTCACAGTAATACTTGGAGATTTTAATACCCTTCTGTCAGTAATAAACAGAACAACATTCAGAAATAAACTATCAAAATATCAATAAGGACATAGAAAATTTGAATATTATCAACTTGACCTAAATAACATTTATAAAGAGCACTATACCTAATAATAGCAGAAAATAACATTCTTTTCATGTGAACCTAGAACATTTGCCAAGGTAAACCACATATGCTAAGCTATAAAACAAGTCTTAATAAATTATAAAGTATTAAAATCTTACAGAGAATATTTTCTGATCATAATAACATTAGTTGTTAATATTTTGATGAATTGCCTTATTAATAAATATCCCTCATCTCTGATAATAGTCATTTTCTTGAAGTTTATTTTTGTCTAATAGTAATATAACCTACCAGCTGCTTATGCAGTGTTGTGTATGGTATGTCTCTTTAAAAAATATATTTATGTGTTTATATTTAAAACAGAAGGAGCATATTGTTGATTCTTGATTTTTTTAAACAAACTTAAAATTATGATATTTAGAAAAATTCCCAAATATTTAGAAATTAAGCACCACACTTCTAAATAACCTATGGGTCAAAGATTTACAGGAGTTAGTAAATCTTAAGATAAATTAGAAAATATGTTGAATTGAATAATAACGAAATCTTAAAATATCAGATTTTATGGGATGTAGCTAAGGTAGTGTTTAGAGAAAAATACAGTTTTAGGAAGAAAGATCTGAAGTTAATGATCCTAGCTTCAATCTCAAGAAGCTAGAAAAATAGTAAATTTGATGCAAAGTAGGTAGAAAGAAGGAAATAATTTTTAAAAAGCAGAAATCAATGAAATAGAAAATGGACAAAACAGGGAAGATCAAAGTCAAAAACTGGTTCTTTGAAAATATTACTAAAACTGATAAACCTCTGGCAAGACTGATATCAAACATTTGTGTTTCAGAAAATACAAATTTCTAATGACAGGAATGAAAAAGGAGACATTATCACAGACCCTCCGGACCTTAAAAATGCTAATAAGGAGATATTATGAACAATTTTATTCCATTTATTAGAAGGGATAAATACCTTGAAAAATACAGTTTACCAATAATAACTTATCAAAAGAGCACAAGAAAAGATCTAAATAGCCCTAAATTTATTACATAAATCAAATTTGTCATTAAAAGCAAAATAAACATCACATCTATTAGGATGGGTATTATTTTAAAAAACACAGAAAATAACAAGTGTTGTTGAGGAAACAAAGAAATAGGAATCTTTGTGCATTGCTGGTGGGAATATAAAATGGTACAGTCACTATGGAAAATAGTAAGGTCATTCCTCAATATATTAAACATGGAATGACCACACAATCCAACAATTCTACTTCTGGATATATACCCAAAAGCAATGAAAGCAAGGGCTCAAAGAGATATTTGCACACCATGTTTACAGCAGCATTATTCACAACACATGAAAGGTGGAACCACTGAAAGATGAATGGGTAAACAAAATGTGATACATGCATAAAATGGAATATTATTCAGACTTTAAAAAGAAGGAAATTTTGGCACATGCTACAACATGGATAAGCCTTCAAGGCATTATGCTAAGTGAAATAAGCCAAATGAAATAAGATAAATGCTATATCATCCCTCTCATACGAAGTTCCTGGAGTGATCAGAAGTTCATAGAGACAAAGTACAATAGGGTTGTCAGGGGCTGGAGAGGAGGGGAGAATGGGGCTTTAAGTATTTAATGGATATAGAGCTTCAGTTGTGGGAGGATGAAGAAGTCTGGAGATGGTTGTGATGTTTGCACAACAATGTGACAATACTTAATATCACTGAACTGTACACCTAAAAAAGGTTAAAATGGTAAATTTTATATATATTTTACCACAATAAAAAACAAACCAAAAAAACCTTCCTTCAAAGAAAACTCGAAGCCCTAAGGGCCTCATTAGTGAATATCAAATGTCTGAGAAAGAAATAAGACCAATCATACACAGCCTCTTTCAGAAAATTTCTTGATTTATTTTATGAGGCCAGCATAACCTGAAACAGTAGTACATGTACATGAAATAAAGGTTTGAATATTGGTCACATTGTTACAGTGGAGTTTTCCCACAGACTTGGTGTTTCTCATTATAGCTCTGAGTTATCAAGTGTTTGTCAGGAATGAAACTTGAAGAAATCTAAAAGGGTAAGAGTTTTCCAGGCATGTCTCAGTGTGTTTTAATTGCTAAGGCTTATATTTAGTTTGAGTTACACCAGTCCAGAGCAGAGGAATATGAAGGCAATAAGGACCTCCATCCACGATTCCTTGCTAGGTGTTGGAGAGAGTTTTTATTTACTCTTGGAAGAACCTGAAAAGGTCTGTGGTCCTGACCTTTCACTTAACTTAGCTCACACTAATTCTGCCCAATCAAATTCTAGTCCATATAATCAAGAGGCATTTCTGTTGCTTACTTTGTCTATCGGTTCTCACTTTCAGCTCACCATCCTATGGAGGTTCTTCCCCTCAAGTCCTACCAAGGTCAAAATGAAACAATGAAGAATGAGCATGACTTTAGGGTCATGGCCTCTGAGAACTAACTCAAAGCCAAGACTTAGTCAAGAATAGTCAATTAGCTAAAACAATCACCAAAGTACAGATCCAGAAGGGAACTGAAGCTTATATAGGGTTAGAGGGCCAGAATTTCATTATCCACAGCATTTATTATGCTATAAGTACACAGAGGTCTGCCATGAAGAGCTGACAGACTTCCTTCCAGCTGTTAGATGTAAGTAAGTGTGTGCCCATTTGAGAATGTAAGCAAATGAACAAATGTATGAAATGACTTGAGTTCCTCATATATGTAGTATATTAAGTCATGGAGAAGGTGGTTTTAACACTTAAAAGTTTTCTGAGCCCACCACTACCACCCCATTATGCTTGCAGCAAAAGCAGCAGCCTTAGTGTAGAAGGATGCCTTGTATGGAAGAGATCTCTGCCCTACCTCCAAATTTTGGCCAACTACTTTGTTTTCCACTCAAATGCAGTCCTTTACACAATGACTCACAGCCCTTACCATACCAACAAACTATATCATATTCTACCAGAATAGGAAAGATGTATACAGGCTATTTCATATTACAAACATGAAAAAGTATTTCTTAAGTAATTGCACAGTTTATTTTTGTAAAGTAATAGTTTTAAGTATTTTCTAATGATTTTAGTTAAAGGAAATACTCCATACTATATTTTGTAATTTGAAAAAAATCTTTGAGGAAGTAAAGCACCAATCCCAACTTATCTGTCACATAAATCTTAATTTTAAAAAAGTTAAGTATTTACCATACTTGAGGCCCTATTCTAAGCACTTTACATGTATTATCTTATTTAACCTCTATTTCTCAATCAAAAGGTCCTATTTTTATACCCATATTGCAGAGTAAAACCCCACACAAAATGAAGTAAAGTAGCACGCTTAAGTTACCCAACCAACAACTGATGGGGCTTCAATTTGAACCCAAGTAGTTTAACTGGAGAGCCTACACGCTGTATTTTTTTGTTTGTTTTTAACATCTTTGTTATTCGTTTACATAGAACTTGCATTCTACTTTTGTAAACCACACATGCAAGAAGGATCATGGTACTGATTCCCCAGTCTTTACTGGGGTTGCTAATTGTTGTACTTGATTTAAGGAGGCCCAGAATTTCTTCTCTCCCTTCATCTTTCTCAATCCTGTTTTTTTCTCTTGGGCTTTAATCAAAAAGCAAGCGAAGCCACTGGGAGGAACCAGTCCCCAGACATAGGAGAGCAGAGTTATTCTCTTTTCAATACTCAAATCTCAAGATACAGGCAAAGTGCTCTTGCATCACCTAAATAACATAACATTTGAACACACAGTTCTTTCCACTGGTCTACTTTTACACAGCCGAGGAGTAGAGGCACAGAAGGACTTATTTCCCTTGCCATTTACGCTTGAGCCTACGATTGCTTTCTCACATCTCAATTCTACTGGAGGAGCACCAAAGAACTAGAGCAAAGAGTACTGCTGTTTGTGTGAATCTGTAATGATTATCCTTGGAGCACTTTGCTGGCTCTGAGCTGCCTCCCTAAGAATGATTCCCAGTTGTCTCAGTTCACTGAAATCTCAGCGAAAGACACCGTCATTAATCATACACTAAGTGCCTGCCTTTCGTTTAAAAGTTAACTTCCCTTCGATGTTTCCTGGGTTCTGAGCATCCTTTAAAGAAATAAATTAGTGAGACATTCATGTTTTTACCTTTGTAACTGTTTAGCTTTTCTGCTCGGCTGGGAAGCTGGTACAAAGGTTTCATTCAGAGGAACAAACATCATCTACATAAAGCCGCACTAACATTACCTGAGAGGCTACCATTAATGAGAGCAAATTAAAGTGCTATTGTGGTACTGTTCTGGATGGTGAAAACCGACAGGTAAGAAAACACTTAAGTATCAACTACACCTTGGTGAAAACTGAAGCTTCAATTAACCCTGGCAATTTTAGAGAACTCCAAGGGTGACCATCTGCAAGGCAAACAGCTCAGCAACTCATACATCTTGTTTTAATCTTTCTTTGGATGA